AAAAAAAACGACGACGACGACGAAACAGACTTCCCAGCATCCCGCCACGGCGCGTTCCTTTCGGCCCCTTGCTGAAACTTGGCGTTGCGTTTGGTATTGGCGTGGGAAGAAAAGCAAAGACGAGAGAGAGTGAGAAAAAGAGACCAGTCACATCCTTGCTTGTGCAGGCACCTGCTGCGCGATGCTACATTTCTATATGTAGTAGCAGTAGCGCATGCACCTAGAATAGCGTCCATGTAAGATGTTGGTGTTGCCACAGCATATCTGCTTGACTACACTACAGGACTGTCTGTACTGCGCGAGTACAAGAACGGCGTACCTGCAAGCATCCGGGTCTCTGCCTGCGAGAAGCCTGGAGGGAGGCAAGGCTGCGTGTCTTGTATATCTGGGCTGGCCACCTTCACGTTGCTAGGCCTAGTAGGTAGTCCTTGTGCTTGTACGAGTACGAGCCCGTAGGATCCTGATTGAACCGCATGTCTTGTTTCAGGGACCTGACCCAAGGGCGGCCTTGCTTGGCTGTGGCAAGCTCCAGCACGAAAGGAGGGTGTGCCTGCGGCTTACTTGTACTGTACCGGTCTCGAGGTGCCTTTCCGTGCCGTGTGAGGTCATCGTCCCAATGCTCCTATTTTGGGTGGACGATACCTACATGTACCTTTCCTACTAAATCCTCGATTCCCGCAGGGGCACGCTTCGAGAGATGAGAAGCACAGCACGAGCAAGGCGGTAAAGGGCCGGAGAAAAAGGACATGAGCAATTGAGCCGTACGGCAGCATATTAACCGGTAGATGAGGGATTCAGAGACACTGCCACATCTGGCGTGACCTGGATGATATCACGAGCAACATGATTGGAAGCGTCATACAACCCTGGAGCATACAGAGTATTGTGAGAATCCTGATGCATGCACTATACATGCACGCCGGATGCAGGTTTGAGCGAAATATATATATCAAATTCTTTGCCCGTGCATTCGGCCGCAGATCACAGAGATAGATGCTGGCCCATGGCTGCGCAAATCTCGCCGCTGGCCGAAGCTAGTCGGGAAGCAGGGCCTCGAGGTTTTGGGTTTGGGCTCTCCCGGTTTGAACGAACACTCCTGCTGGTGCAAGGTGTCGGTCATGCTGAGTCGAGTCGACGAGCGCGTCTCTCAGGCCATCATCAGCTGGAAGAAACGAGGCAGACGTGGCGTTTGCTGTGCGGATTTGTCAAGCATGTACAAGCAATACAAAGTAAAGTCGAGGCGAGAAAAGGGGGGTGTGTGGTGGCGGCAGCAGCAGGTCAAGTGGTGAGGGGTGCGTTCCGTCATTCACAGCAATTGACTCTGCAAGAACCCGCCGGGGGCTGTTCGTCAGTGGTTTTGGCCCGCAGAGGAAGGGAACAACATTAGACGATGAGTGATGCGATGCAGCTGGAGAGATCGAATGGGAATTTGGACGCAATTTCTTCCACCGTCAAGTGACCTCTTGCTTGCTGGCAAAGAGTGGTAAGCGATTTGTGGGAAGCCTCCGGCTCCTACAACGCCCAAGCAAAAAAAAAAAGAAAAGCTGCGGTAGCTCAGCAGCAGCAGACGAGTGACGGTGCTACCGGCACATCAGGCCACGGGCTTGTTGCCACCTTATTGCTAGGTCGAACGTGACGCCTGAGCCATACCCGCATTTGGCCACATACGGCCATAGCCTTTGGCGTTGCAACTCGTAGCACAGCTGGCGGACTCGTACGGAGGATTATTACCTGGTAGGTGCCTGACTATGGGAGACGAAGCACGAGTCCAGTATAGCCTCAAAGCAGGGAGGGAAGGGAAAGGGAAAAAAGGGGGGGAGAATCGAGACCAATGGAAGCGGTTGGTCTATTAATACTACCACGTACGAGTACATGGTGCCTGAGCATCGCCGCGCGTGAGCTGCTGTCAGGTCAGTGCGGTTCGGTTCGGTTTGGTCTGGTTTGACGCTCAGATGGGCAGGACAGGACAGGCAGGACAGGCAGGGCGGCTTATGCTTAGCAGCTCGGCTCTCGTCGTCCAAATCTAGGTCCAGGGCGTCCAAATTGCTGTGGCTCTGATCTGGGCCAGGCGACTTACAAATGCCTCGACAGATACTAGTGGCCACTAGGAGCGCTCAAGGCTTGCATGGTTCTCTGCACGGCCAGTCTTTGACTTCCGCTTGCCGAGTTTTAGCGCCAGGTGCCCGTCTCAAAAATGAGCACATGAGCACCTCGAGCCTAACAACTGCGGGTCTGCTGGATCTCTCTAGCAGTTGCGTAGCACCAGGTAGCAGGTACAGTACATACCTTCCATGGTACTGGGTGAGCAGCGGCGAGTTTTTTCCTTCTTGCTTTTCTCTCGTCTTCTTTCTGTAATGGGATTGGGGCAGAATAACAAGAAAAGAGGGCAGAAAAGACAGAGATACGGAGAGAGAGAGAGGTAAAAGCTGGAAGAGGGCAGATGTACAAGATGGAGACAAGGATTGCCGGCATTGGCTGTTGGATTGATCGGTTCAAGGTTCAAATGATTGAATCATCCTCAGCAGGTACCAGGCAGTAGTAGCACGAGTAGTACCTGGTCTGGTCCGGTCGCTCCCACGATAAGCGCGTCTCCTACCGCCCTGTATCCATCAAATTTCTCTGTATGGAGTGCAGTATCTCCGTACGAGGTCACCCGCCAACAGCTGCACTCTTCCAGGTACAGGTACATACCTTAGTACATGCTCGCAGATTACCTCACCTCACCTGTGCTGTAATGCCATGCCATGCCAACCTCTGCAAGCTCGCACCATCTTTCCCTCGTTTGCCGGCCCATCGACCCATTGACCACGGACGAGCAAAAACAAAACCGTGAATGCCCTCTGCCTTGCGTGCGTCCTGACATCGTGCACTGCTTCTGCCGGCAAAAAGGGCATCTGCCGTGTTGTTGGCCAGTCTTGCTTGCATCGAAACTCGACTCTGGTTTTTCGTGCGTGTTGCGTTGGTCAGGTGGTTACTCGAGGTAGCCTCCCCAGTCCCAGCCTGCACCCTCACTGGAGTCTTTTATTACCGCGCCTCGCCCTCCCCTCCTCGACTTTTTCCCACCTCACCTTGAACCCTTCTTTCACCGAGCAGAGCAGACCAGAGGCACAAAGAGTACGTTGACCACCGCTAGGCACGCCGTCTCCCCTCCTCCCATCGTGTGCAATCCGAGCACCTTTTCTCCTCTAGGGAATGAATGCTTGGCTCTCCCGCTGCATGTGTTGACCTGCTGGGGCGGAATGATGGAACAAGAATAAACTTGAAAGAGTGCAGCAACTGACCCTGAACGCAGCAGCCAGAAGCAGACGCAGACGCAGACGCAGGGTGCCCCGCATCGCCTCAGAGTGTAATAGCCAGCAGTGCAACGCGACCAACAGCCAGTAATCGTCAAAAGCATCTCCCCAGCGTCCATCCCGTAATCGACCTTTGGATCACGAGATTGAATCTGTCGGTTTACACACCACTCGACTCTATTCCCCCGGGAGCCGCTGCATACTGTAGCCTTTTATTCTCGTCGTGAGCCTGTGCAACGACGACAAGACTTGTGCCGTCAGCGTCGCGCCGTGCTCCACAGCCTTCCGTGCCGGTCCTGACGTACATCATCCACCAAAAAGCCTCCCGTTTTCTTTGTGCTTGCTCCTTAGCCACCTCCGACACCTTTTCGCAACGCCGACAGAAATCGCACTTGACCATCTTGTTTCTCTTGCGCCACGACGGCTCGCTCAATTCGCATTCATCGTCCTGGCCGTCGTTCTGTATTCGGTAGGTCCAATCTTGTCTTCTTTGTTCGTGCTGCTTGCTTCTGTTTCTGCTTCGCCAAGCCGGCCAAAACCCTCAAACCAGCTCTGCCTGCCTCGCATCCCGCTGCCCTTTCCTTTCCCTCTCCTCTCCTCTCTTGGCCCTCACCTTGGCGTCACAAGGCTGCAATTCGGCTCACGTCCTTCTCTCACCATCGCCCTCGCCTCTGCCGGTGCCCCTTTCCCCTTGTCATCGTTGTTTGCCGTCTCCTGCCTTGCTGCTCGTCGCCTGTTGTATGTCACGAGCCCACCACGTTAAGCACCCCGCCCTGCTCCCTCCAAGACCCGCCTCTTCCTCTCTCTCTGCCCAGCTTTCTCGTGCCACTACACCAGCTAGCGATTTGGACCTATGGAATTTTCTCTACACCCGCTGCCGCCTGTCACCTCCTGATTGCATGTACCTACACCTCAGCAGCTGCTTTCTTTCCTGGAGGGGCGTCTTTTTCCCTTTTCTTCCTCTCTTTTTTTTTCTCTCCCACCCTTCACTCTCCTACCCATTTATTTCCCCGACATACTGCCTGGCGCAGCTGAGAGATCCCCATCGCTCCGAGCACTCCCTGGACCTTCGTACCTGAGTTTCTAGGCCACTGCCGTCGCGCAAGTTGACCATTTCATCATTGGCAAAGCTACCAATTTTTTGCCCAGCGCGTCCGCCTTAGTTGGTGCCTTTCCCCCTCCTGCTTCTCAGCCCCAGTCATCTTTCCCTCCCCGCACTTCCCATTTCGCCCTGGCAGCGAGCGTGTCACCACAATTCATTACCTGCTTGCCTGCACTCGGTTTCAATTGCCGCTGCATTCTCCAATTCCTATCCTGTCCATATCTCTGATTCGCGTCCCATTTGTTCCCAAGGCGAGATTTGTTTTTCGCTAAATCTCGAACGTGTGTTTAGCAGCTCCTCTGCAAATCCTGCCCAGCTTCAATTTGACGGAAAGCAACCAGCCGCGTGTCATCGCCGCAACGGAAAAAACATAGGAAAAAAAAGGTTCTTGCCAAGTCGAGCAGACATCGACCTCGCTACCGGCGACAGAAGCTCTTGCGACACGTCGCATTGCATTGCCTGTTCCTATTTCCTTCATTCTCGTTGCCCACCACGGCCCTCGTCAAGGCTCGTTCTTTGTTGCCCCTCACCTGCCTACCGCTTGGGTGTTTCAAACTCGATCTCCGATAGCATTGGCGCCCTAGTCTGAGTACACTTGGCCCAAAATGTCAGCCCACCGGCCAAATGCTTTCAACAGCTTGCGGATGGGAGGTGAGTTCATTCTGCCGTACGGTGTACATTGGTACCCATGACTAATGAGGCTATGCCGTCTACAGAGGTGATCCGCGAGAAAGTTCAAGATGGTATCACGGGCGAGACCAGAGATCTGCAGTACACTCAATGCAAGATCGTTGGAAACGGCTCGTTCGGTGTTGTCTTTCAAACCAAGCTTTCACCGTCTGGCGAAGATGCTGCCATCAAGCGAGTTCTCCAAGACAAGCGATTCAAGGTACAACCCTCCCCCCCCCCAGCTCCATCTTTCTGGTAGGCACCAGCGACTAATTTTGTTGTGGTAGAATCGAGAGCTCCAAATCATGAGAATTGTCCGACATCCCAACATCGTTCAGCTCAAGGCTTTTTACTACTCCAACGGCGAACGTGTACGTATAGTTCAACGCCATTTTGGGTGTTCCTTGACTAACAACTCTTCAAGAAGGATGAAGTTTATCTCAATCTCGTTCAAGAATTTGTTCCCGAGACCGTCTATCGGGCCTCCCGCTTTTTCAACAAGATGAAGACGACCATGCCCACCTTGGAAGTCAAGCTGTACATCTACCAACTCTTCCGAGCCCTGGCATACATTCACTCTCAGGGCATCTGCCACAGAGACATTAAGCCTCAAAACCTCTTGCTCGATCCAAACAGCGGCATTCTCAAGCTGTGTGACTTTGGCAGTGCCAAGATTCTAGTCGAGAACGAGCCCAATGTTTCGTACATCTGCTCCCGATATTATCGTGCCCCCGAGCTCATTTTTGGTGCTACCAACTACACCACCAAAATTGGTACGACCTTCTCATCCCGCGGAGGTTGATTCATTTGCTAACCTTGACTGTAGACGTGTGGTCCACGGGATGCGTCATGGCTGAGCTGATGCTCGGCCAACCTCTGTTCCCCGGTGAATCTGGTATCGACCAGCTGGTCGAGATTATTAAGGTTCTCGGCACGCCGACCAGAGAGCAGATCCGCACCATGAATCCCAATTACATGGAGCACAAGTTCCCGCAGATCAAGCCCCACCCCTTTAACAAAGTGTTCCGGAAGGCTGATGCCAATGCGATCGATCTCATCTCCCGATTACTCGAGTACACGCCAACCGAGCGTCAGGCTGCCGTCGACGCCATGGTGCACCCTTTCTTCGACGAGCTCCGAGACCCGGCCACCAAGCTGCCTGATTCACGACATGGAACTGGCCAGCTGCGAGACTTGCCCGATCTCTTTGACTTTACCCATCATGGTAAGCTTCCTGTGTCCATCAGCCTGTGACTGCCCTGGGGCGTATAGCTAACTTGATTCTTAGAACTCTCCATTGCTCCGCAGCTCAACCAACAGCTCGTACCACCGCACATGAAGCCAATCCTGGCTGCCCGAGGACTTGACATTGACAACTTCACGCCAATGGCGAAGGCGGACATGCTGGCAAAACTGGACTGAGCCACACGGTGACTGAATAGAGTTGGCAGGCTTCTGCTGCACTCTTGGAAGCACTTGGTGTCTCTGGAAAAACAACCCTGTTCTCTCCCCCCGTGTAGAGCTTGGGTTGGTGCCGAGGGTAATGGCTCGCTACTAAACTTGGGCCGTGATTGGGGAGATGCGATTGAGATATAGTCTCGAAAGCTTGCCGTGTGGAGTCCGCATGCTCGACACTAGGGAACGGGGTGAGATGGGTTTGTGCGGTGTGTTGTGTGGAGAGAGAGAGGAGAGCTTCGGACATTGTCTCAAAATTGGCAAAGGAAAGGAGGCGTTTTTTTTGATCCCCTAAAAAACTTGGTTTTCCGGGCGGGAACCTGGGCCACCCGCCAATACGAGGGAGGCTGCATTGATGCGTATCGCAGGAGATCGCTTTTTTAGACCACGTTTCGATGCATGACGGAGCTGGCTGTTGCTTCTTTTTTTTGTTTTTCTTTTTCCTGTTGTCGTGTCATGAAGCTCCGTGCTTATGGAAATGGAGGGGATTATCAGGTCGGTGGTATCGGATGTCGACCTTGTGCCTCAGCATGAGTGTTCTCCTTTGTCGCCTTTATGCATCGGCGTACAGTGGGAGAGGGAAATTAGGGGGGCAGGGGAAACGTTGAAATTGCTGGACGGACAAGATATGACATCTTGGACCGTGGGATATAGAGCCCCAGCAGCAAAGCCCGGACGTCGCAGACAATGGATGGGGAAAATGAGCTTTAGCGGGACATTAGGACAGGCATCGTTTAAACAGATGAAAAAAAGGAATGGGAGATGGACTTTTTACTACTACCATGAGAGCGCTTAAGGAGAACCCTCATTGGTCCTAATTCTTGGGCGTGGTTAAAATGAAGGAACAAAAAAAAAGATGAGCAAAATGTATCACGGAAGTCAGGCAGATGGTTAGAAGAACCAGGTAGAGGCTTAACAAGGAGCTTTGCACACACACCTCGATGCAGCGCCTCAGTCAAAGAAGCAAGATTTGTGCAAGAGGCTGCGATGATTCTGCGAGTTACTCGATCCTTGAGCATTTTCAGAGCATGGATATGGTATCAACATCACAAACTCCTGCAGCTAGCCTAACCAAGAGGACTCCATTGCACAAGACAAGATTCTCTGATGTTGAGGTTACCTTGAAGCTCCCGGCTCCACCCTTGTAGCGCTCCATTGGAAGGCACATGCAAAATATTCATGTACTACCTATTAGAGGAACATGATTATAGTAGGCAGTAAATACTGGAAGAATATTGATAATGATAGTAGCAGATACTAGAAGAATATAGTGGTGATAGTAGCAGAAAGTACATGGATTACGGCTACTTTACGTGGCAGCAGGTGGGACGATTAGTGTTTCAATACCGCACTCACTTCATCAAAGTACCTTCTTAATCCTTAAACCCCTTTCCCTTTCCCTACTCTTTTCACCAATGGGTGGCCCAATCAATCAATGAACCTGCTGGATGTTTGGCTTTGGCTCAGGCGACGTTGTTCTCATTCTCACACGGTACAAAAGCTGTGGCCTGAGGCACCGACGGAAACTAGGCCGCCTGCACGTCGTGGGCCCACTCCGGCGCAGGGAATCAATCAACCGCTAAACCTTCTGCTAGCTGAGCGTTTGAAGCCCGTCGCGCGCGTTGCCTGCAGCAGCTTTTCCCGCCCGAGCTTTAAGCACTTGAGCAGCTCACCAGCCCAGCGCTCTCACCGTTTGCAATCATCAATTACCTCCCTCACAATCGCTATTCGCTTGAGCCGAGAGTCACACCATGGCCGACTACGATCGAAGGCAGCAGGGCGGCCACAATCGCAAGAGGAGATACAGAGGTACGTCAGGATTAATCCCCCCAATGTTTCGTTACACGCTCTGCAGAGGCTCATGCGACTGTCCCTACCTGCAGATGACGATGATCATTACGACCGCCGCCAGCAGCGGAGGCGAATCGACTCAGTGCCCGTCCCTGTACGTCTTCGACGACAGCTCCTCAGCCTCGCCGACTCCCCCCTGCGCCGATGGTCCGAGGAAGTGCAGTCCATTGCTCGCATGGTGGCCGAAAACTATGACGATGAGAACCTACGCAACACCTTTGTCAGTCTGGTCATGCAGCTGGTTGTCGAGCAGCCTTTGAAGACGCCGTTTGTGGCGGCTGTTGTGCTCGTGGCAAACACCATCAAGCCTGAGATTGTGGACGCCGTCCTCACCCCCGTCGCCCAAGAAACGGAGAGCAAGATCGCCAAGGGGGAGTGGAGAGATGTGAAGCTGTACCTCAAGTTTCTGGCGTGCCTGCAGGCGTGCTTGGAGGGCGATGGAGTCTTTCCTCTGCTTGAAGAGCTCTTCGGTCGTGCTGCCGACTTGCAGACGGCAAGCTCCGAGGATGTAGGTTTTCTTTTTGACCGACGTCTCTCTATCTTCCCGGTTTCATACTAACGACAGCCGTGGTAGACCATTGGCACGGAAATTGTCAAGACCATCCTTCTTACGATCCCCTATATCATGGCTGCAGCCCCCGGCCAGTTCCAGCAGAAGGCAGCGGATCTCATGGACAAGACCGACATCATCGCATCTGAACCCCACGCGCTCCAGGCTTTGGTCGACCCCTACCACCCTGACCCCTCGAGCGAAAGCGCATCGGCGTCCCTGAGCCTGTGCATGCTTTTGCAAAAGCAATTGCAAGCTGAGGCCTCTAAAAACTGGGAGCTAACCTGCATCCCAAGACCGTGGAACATGCCTCTGGAGGAGATTGAGGCTCAGGACAAGCTCGCCAATGCGCCAAAGCATGCCTTACCTACGATTTCCATACCTTCGACCGTCATTACTGGTCCTCGACCGCTGTTTCCCGAGGTCTATTTTTCCGTTTATGCTGACCAGGAAGTCGAATCTGTTCCCTCCACGGATAGCGTGGCGTCTTCTTTAATAAGGGACGGCCTTACTGATACTATCAATGGCCTCCATTTCAACAGAAACGCCACAGCGAGATACCTCATTGACCTGGACTGCTATTTTGCAGACGATACTTTTGTCAAGCGGGCTACCCCATTCGATGAGTTGCGCAACGCAGCTCCAGGAAAGTCTACGTGGAAGCCTGAAGATGTCGCCGTCGACATTGTCTTTGCGCAGCTCTTCCAGTTGCCTTCGCCTGAGCACAAATTGGTTTATTACCACTCCGTCTTGACGGAAGCCTGCAAGCTCGCCCCTGCCGCCATAGCGCCTAGTTTGGGAAGAGCAATTCGCTACCTCTACAATAACTCCCCTCGAATGGATCTTCAGCTGAGCTTTAGGTTCCTCGACTGGTTCTCCCACCACCTGAGCAACTTTGGCTTCACGTGGAAGTGGGCGGAGTGGAGTGACGACTGCAGCCTGTCTGATCTTCATCCAGCAAAATGGTTCCTGAGAGGCGCGCTGGACAAGGAAGTGCGGCTGAGTTTCGCCCAGCGAATCCAGAAGACTCTTCCGGAGCCGTACCAGCCCTTGATTGGCCCTGAGAAGGAAAAAGACGTGCCTGATTTCAAGTTCAACAACTCTGGTAAGTTGTAACTTCTATCTGTAACATACGCGTTATCCAAGTTGCTGACCGTGTTCGCCTTGTGTAGACACGCCATTCTCGAGCGAAGGCCAAGAGATTGGCGCCCTGCTTAAGCGAAAAGCGCCCGATGAAGAATTCCAGCCCATCATTGACAAGATTGAGGCTGAAGCTGGTGAAAGAGCGCTTGACCCGGTCGTTGCTAGCACTGACGTCTTCATGACGGCCATCTGCTGGGTTGGATCCAAGTCTCTGAGCCACGTCTTGGCTTGCATTGACCGAAGCAAGGAACGCCTTCTCAAGGCCGCCAACTCGTCTCCGGCGGCGCAAAACCAGGTCCTGGCAGCCGTCATGGCCTATTGGCATGCGCATCCCGGCATTGCCCTGTCGATCGTTGAGAAGCTGCTCAATTACTCCATCCTGACGCCTGCGTCGGTTGTTCGTTGGGCGTTGACGGATGGTTCTCTCGTCGGCGGCGCTAATGCGGGCGAGGCCCTTGCGCAGCCTCACATCTTTGAGCTCGTCTTGAATACGGTGACCAAGGTTAGCTTTCGAGCTCGCCAGATTCTCACCTTGCCCGACGCGGACGAGGAAGGGCGCAAGAGCGAGATCAAAGCCATGCAAGAGCTTTTCGGCCTTCTCAATGATTTGTTGGTCAGTTGGGCTGGTGGCAACAAGGACGAGCTGATGGAGATGGGTGACGGCTCCAGTGAACCCGAGGCCTTGATCCGCCGATGGGGTCAGCGTTGGCTGAGGGTGTTTAAGCGGCTGGGAGCTATTGAGGAGGCCTTTGTCATTGAGGCCTCTAAAGAAAAGCCGGACTCGTCGAATGGAGTCGATGCTGTCTAGAAGGCCTGGGTCGAAGACTGTGACGATATACTGTAGAGGGTGATGGGGGGGAAACAAGGAAGAAGCTTCGGATACTACAAGACACAGGCAGGAAGAGTACCTCGGTGGCTGGATGTTGCTGCTAGAGGGGAGGCTTGAGGACTCTTTTCTTTCTTTTTTTTTTCTCTTCTAATTGTTAGGATTATGAGGGCGGGTCAACACATCCGCAAAGGTTTAGAAAAATGAGAACACAGAGATTTTTAGTCACGCAATGAAGAGGATTTGTGTATTCCTTGCATCAAAAGGGGGAACATGGGGATCAATTTAACTGCTGAATGATTGTCCCGGTCAAAGAATAAGGCACTAGATATGCACTTGACAGTATACTTCTTCCTGTAAATGCTATGATGTGAATGTTGTGTGAATATTGATTCGCAATCAGTCTACCTGATGGCTATCCTATTCCAAAATATTTCCATTCCTTCCAAACCTATCTACCAGAGAAAAAACAGCAGGCGTGCAACTCATCATGGTATACATGCACTCGTCAAGTACAAACAAATAGCAAAAGTCGTTTCATTGTCTCAACCGTAAAACTCCGCGGTGTTAATGCCCTATCCCGAATTTCCCTGTATTCCGAAACCACCATGCCGAGGGCTTTGCCATTAACATCTAAAAATGAAAAATAAATGAAACAAACAGCAAAAGAATGGTAATGCGCAAAGCCAGCCATGCATCTGAGGATTGAACGTCGACGAGCAAGCTGAAATCAGAAAATTTCAATCGTCGTCCTCAAGCTGCAGCGTCACACTATCAGTTTCCTCTTGATCGGCTGCGGGAGTGTTCCACCCTGAGGCTGGTTCGGCTGGGCTTTTTCGCCCATTCGCTTGAGCTTCTCGAGTAAATGACTGCAACAGTATTAGAGACGGTATTCTATCAGAAACGGGCTGGGGACGGCGGCGAAATTGGGCAACAATCTGACGAAATTCTTCTGTTGCTGATCTACTTAGATCTGGTATGGCTTCCGGTGGTGGACTTAAAGGGGCGTCGACGGCGGGAGTAGTTCTTGTTGTTCTTGTTGTTGTGTTCGTGGTGGGAGGGAATTCAACGAGTATCAGGAAAGGGGGGAAATAGGCATACTTAATCGGCATGTGGCCACGGCTGCTTTCCGTGACTGCGAGGTTGAGTCGTTTGTTTTGCTCCTGGTGTTCTTCAAAGTGCTGTTGAATCCGTGTTTGACACCCTTGTGCGTCACCACCTCGCACAACATATGCGCAGCCATCTTCTTCACACGTCCAAGTATCGTCAGGGCCTTGAGGGGCGGTGGAAGGTATCTTCTCCGTGCGAATCACAATCTGGATCGGCTCTACGTCGTCTGATGGCGACTGAACAGACGGACCGGCATTTCTAGGGGCGTTTACTTCGGTCAAGTCTTGCATAGAAGTGTCTCCCTCCTCCTCCTCCTCCCCCTTATCGGAGAAGTAGTGTGACCGTTTCAAGCCCGAGGTTTCCGAGTCTGGCTCACTCTCATCTCCAATTTCGGCGTGGGTTCTTTTCTTGGAGGCAGTTGCTGCTCTTAGGCCTGATGTTTTAATCGGTCTCCGGCCAGGTCGTTTCAATGATTTGCCAATATGCCCAGGAGCATCGTTGGTACTTGCTGCGCCAGCTTCGTGCGAGGATGATTCTGGATCGACAGCAGTTGGCGCTGGCTTCTTGGATTGACGCGGCATGGCTTTGCGCGGTATCAGTCGAAAAGGAAATTCCGATGCTTTTATAGCACGCGGAGTAAACGGCTTTGCTGACAACTCCTCGAGAAAAGACCAGAGCTCATGCTTCTGGAACCTCTCCTTGTCAAGTACCTGCAACAAGGCGGCAGCATTATAATGCAAAACCTCTTCAGCGGGAATGCGATGCGCTCCTTTAGAGCCGTCTTTGTAATTGGGGATTTTGTAGTCGAAGTAGATAAAGTTGAGAGCATTCTTCATAGTGATGCCCTTTTTAGAGCCACCACGATCGACATATAATACTTCTAATGCAGCGAGGACGGAGGCAAATGGAGAGTCATCATCTGCTGCAGTGCTTATTGCACCGTCAGCAGATTGCGTAGGCATTGCTGGTGTCTGAGCAGCAGATTGCGTAGGCATTGCTGGTGTCTGAGCAGCAGCACTAGGGCTCGCTACGTCTGCAAGCGGGCTTGGTTTCGGCCGTTTCGATAGCTGGGTTTGATCGGGATCAACAACCTCCGTGCTGAGACTCCTAGTAATGCGGTTTGAGGACCTGTTACTCGGCGCCGGACTCACCACCTCACGCGAAGGACTGCTTGGTTTTCGTGGGTTTTTGAGCGCCAACTCTGTTTTATACACCACGTCCTGTATATATGTTAGTCGTCAAACTTTCTCTGGACCAGGAACAGTCAACTAACGGCGTGCTCAACCGTGAACCATCTATGGAATGGCGTTTGCTTCCAGTCTATAAGGCTGAGAGACTCCTGTCCAAATTGGCAAACGAAGAAGATGGCGTGCTCAGCACACCGCTGTATCACCTCGTTGAATGTTGCTCCATCGCCTACCTTCATGGCATACTGCGAAGCGTCGTTAGCATTGGTCGTTGCGAGGAACGTGGTTCATGCGTGTGTTGGCTTTACTCACCTGTAGCAAATCAGTGCGGAGAGCCTCTAGGAGGTTGGCACCCGGTGCGGCAGGTGTCTTGCTAAATTTGCCAGAGCTGTATATGTCCACCAAACTGTAATACATGGTGGTGGCCTCGCACATCTTATTGAATATCGGTCGGTATGCGTCTGAAGGGTTAAGCTCGTACCAGCCGCCTCGTCCCAGAACCCATACAACAGGGCGCCCATCGTCTTCTCCGATCGAATAAGCGATACAATGGCGGATTTCTATAGGTGTAGATGCCTTGACCCTCATGATCACTGCGATTGTTAGAGTTGCTGAGACAAGGAGCGAGGAAGCGAGGGAGTGGATGGCAGTGACTCACGATGTGTCTTTTGAGAGGGATCGTCTATGATGAGATGGCCGCGCACGATGTATGGGCCTCGCACGACGACATTGAGTGCGTTCTCGAGAGTCTCTCCCTTTCTATCGTAGACGGTGGCATCGCGCAGCTCGAAGCAAGGATAGTCATCCTTGGAGACGTCCTTGGGCTGTGATCTGACAACAGAAGACTCCTGCAACCAGCGGATCTTGTCTCCATCTATGGTTTCGACGCTCGACGTGGACGCCCTTCGCCTGCGTCCGCTCATTATGAACCGCAGACGTAGTAGGTGACCATAGGACAAAGTGATTTTCGAAGCGGGATAAGGAACAATCGAATCGCGGGCTTGGATTCGAGGGAGAGCTGAAGGCTGCGAGCTTTGGCTCTTTGGTAGTAGTGGCGATACCAGAGGCAGACAGACTTGAAGTCGGATAGCGGAATTGCGAGAGGACTGGCGGGATGATCTTGTTTTTGGGAGCGGAAGAGCTGAGATCTTGTCTTGGTTTGATCGAGAGGCAAGATATGGATAGCCGAGGCCAAGTGGTGTATTTTGGCGGTGCTTGCGCAGTTGTAGATGCAACGTCCAAATCAAATCGTACTGGAGGCGCGCAAGCCGAAAAGGCTGAGAAGCGGCAGTGGGCAAACACGAGCGCGCTAGCTCGGCGTCATAGGCGTTCGCGATTGCTGGGCCCAGTAGAATCTCGGATTGCTGGAGGGGTTCAGCGGGCTTGAATGCGCCAACCGGCCTCGTAAGAGCCTTGATGGGACGCTGTAGCACAGCGCCGTTGCATGACCCCACTGTAGCCCTGCTGTCTTCCATGCCTGGTGGTACAGCATTGATCTACTGCTCTGGACATTCACATCGAGCATATGAGCACACGGGGGTTTATTACGGAGTAATAGGGGTGATGGATTTTATCAACTGCAACTTGAATAGCAACTAGCAGATGATACAGATACGGGTAGCAATGGGAGTAGATGCCAGAGGAATGTACCGGTAATACTTGGAGAACCGGCTATATTCCATGAACTCTTCCATGTTAATGTAGTATTTGACAGGTTGCAGCCATCGTGATGTTGGCTACGGTAGGTTAGTACCTAGCAAGTCCAAGACTGGCTGTATCGTATTGATTCAAAGTGAAAGTCTTCTGAATTCCAAGTCATCGAACAATGATGGAATTCGTCAATTGGATCTGAAAGTGACAGAGACCCTCACATCAGCCTTCAACGGGGAGCCTTTCCCCGTCCTGGCATCGGCAAGTCCCTGTATCCTATACACCTGATGCGCCCGGGAGGGGCCTTTGTACATTCTCCCTGCCGGTATCCTTGCTGCATCTTGTGTACACTGACGCTAACCCGGCACGCCCCAGGTACAAGTACACCCACCTCTCGCAATCTCTTATCAGCGCGCTAGGACAAGTTTTTTTTTTCCCCAGCCAAAACCACCCGTCGTCTGAGTCGCGGACTGAAGGCCGGAGGTGAAAGTGAGTTCGTGGTGAGAACTGTGCAACTTGCAGCTCCCCCTCTTATACCCGCCATCTTCTCTTCCGTTTCCCTCTGTTTCTTTCTTCTCCCCTTCATAGCATCTTCGTCTTTCCCTCCTTCGCCCATATCAGGCTTCGTATGCGACGGTTTGGAAAAGTGTTCTCGACAATGGCTTCGGACGTCGTCCGGGATGGTGTCTTTGGTAGGCATATCCTCATCCTGCTTCCCGGCTCTGTCGCATCTCTTCCACTGTATCTGGAGCCCATGGAGTCTTGCTAATACAGTAATGCGCGCTGCCTTAGCCATCAACAAGCCTTGCGGCCTCAGCTCAGCCCAGGTGGTGCGAGAATGCCAGCAGGCCTTCAACCCCTCTTCCTTCTTCAAGCCCATGATCGATGCGGAAATCGCGCGCCGACTTAAGGAATCGGGCCCTCAATTCAATCGACGCAAGGCCGAGAAGAAAGCGTCACAAGTCAAGATTGGCCATGGAGGCACTTTGGACCCTTTGGCTACCGGAGTCCTGATCCTGGGCATCGGCTCAGCCACGAAGCAACTGCCCCAGTTCCTCGACTGCACCAAGACGTACGAAACCGTTGTTCTATTTGGCGCGAGCACCGATTCCTATGATCGAGTGGGCCGTATCCTGTCTAAGCGACCATACGACCACATTACACGAGAGATGGTGGAGAAGGAGCTGGAATCATTCAAGGGAAAGCAGATTCAGATCCCGCCCTTGTTCTCGGCGCTCAAGATGAACGGCAAGCCGCTCTACGAATATGCGCGCGAAGGACGGCCTATACCCAGGGAGATTGAGGGAAGAGAAGTCGAGGTGTTGGAAGTTGAGCTTTTGGACTACTACGAGCCGAAGACACACAATCATCGCTGGCCAACGGAGGAGGCCGAGGCGTCTGAGCGCCACCTTGCCGAGCAGGTCTGGAGGGTTAAGAAGCAGCAGGAGACTGCGCGAAAGCTCACGCCGGAGGAAAAGGAGCAAGACGACCAGGCAGTTGCGGCCCACGAGTCGTTCAAGCGCAAGTTTGAAGAGCGACAGGACGAGCTTATTAGAGATGCGCCGCGCAAGAAGCAACGCCCTGCGAAGCACACGGCGTTGATGTCCGGTGCTCTCGGTCAGCTGCCTCAGCCCGTCTACTCTAGCAAGGGCAAAAATCTCGTCCCTCCGTCGCCCGATGAAAGCACTCCTCCACCCTGGAGCGATGAGGGACCCCCTGCCGCCAGGATTCGACTAAAGGTGACGTCGGGCTTCTACGTCCGAAGCTTCTGCCACGATCTCGGCACCAAGCTGGGATCTGCGGGCCTCATGGCGGAGCTTGCCCGTGTCCGCCAGAGCGACTTCACCATCGGTGGCACAAACTGCCTCGAATACGACGATTTGGCTAAAGGAGAGGAGGTCTGGGGTCCCAAGGTCGCTGATATGCTCGCGCGATGGAATGGCGAGCCCGAAGGAAACTGGTCCGGCCCCAAGGCAGCTCCCAAGGCCACGAGCCCATCTCCCGATAAGGTCGAGGCGCAGAAGAAGCAAGAAAAGAGGAGCGCCAGCCCAGTTGCGTCGCCTCCTAATGCTGCTCGATCAGAGAAGCGATCACGTTCTCCATCTGTCAATGGCGCGGCATCACCCGCTCGCAAAATCCAGGCAAAGGGGGACGGAGAGAAGCCAACTCGGCAGACAAATGGCAACAAAGTGCCAGGCAAGTCGGACGATGAAAAGTCTTGGAACGGCTTCGATGACTAAAGCAAAAGAAAGAAGAAACATATATTTCAAAAATCTATCTAGGTAGATTCTCTCACACACATATCCTTTATGGAAATGAGGACATGGGGAACCACATGGCAGCGTTGCGATATTAGCATGGCTGATAACAATCAGTTCAGAGGGCAGTTGGGGACTGGGGACAGGGAACACGGGCGTTTGCGGTAAACGAACAACGCCTTAGGGACATGAAGGCGTCTATATAGAACCGCAAGCAGATACTAGGACTAATTGCAGGCAGTCTCTTGCGCCGTACCACAATACATATACACAATTCTTCAATTCGCCTCGTGTTTCCTGTCCATGGAATACTCTATCCAGCGTGGCCGGTAGGCACTCTCTATACAGAGTATCTTATTATATACTCTTAATACTCCCCAGGTCGAGTATCGCAGTCTGTGTGAGCCGAAACAGCCAAAAAAAAATTAAAGCAGGACAAATCCCTCCCAATTCCTGTGCATGAGCCAGTTCGCCAACAAAAGAAAAAGAAAAAGCCAATAGAGAAAAGATTCCTGCGCTGCCGGTTCCCAATAAACTGATACCCCATTACCACCATCCCATGAGACCTAACCAACCAAATTAGTTCCAATAGTACTTTTTGTTCCCTCGCATTTCATTTCATTCATTCAATCCTTTCAGACGCAAGTGACAGCGCCGCGGCGTCGTAGCCTTCCAGCAGCAGCGTCTTGACCCTTTCGATGCGGTTCATGGCCAATTCCAGCTTGTCCAGCCGCTGCTTCTTCTCCACGTCTCGCTTTTCCAGCTCGGATATCCGCTGCTCCAGGGCTGCCCTCGCGCGGCGCTCCGTGGCCACCATCTCGTTTGCCTGCTCGAAGAGCGTCACGCTGAGCTCCTCGACCTCCTTGTTCGTGGCGTTGAGTCGGCCCTCCGCGGCCCTCCGCAGCATCCGTTCCTTGTTGAGGGCCTCGAGCAGATCTTCTTCCCTGCGGCCGGGGGTCCTCGCCGGGCTGGAGTCGGTAGGCGGCGGCGTCACGGGGGGCATGGGCTTGGACGACGCAGGAGGGCTGGCGGGCTGCGATCGGCGCGAGTACATGAGGGCGGAGATCCTCGTGGCGCCGGTCTGGAAGAAGGACGAGCGGGTAGGGCTCTGGGCGGCGGGCTCGGGCGACGAGGAGAGCCTGGCTCGCAGCTTGGACAGCTCGGCCTCGTACTCGGCCCAGCGGCCGACGGCGGCGGTGGCCTTTTGGTTGAGCTGGAAGACGTGGGTTTCGAGCTCGGCGATGCGGGCCTGGGCGTCGAGCAGCTGCATCGACGGCGGCTCATCGTGCTGCGGAGGGATCACGAAGCCGCAGCTGGGGCAGCACGACGGGCTGGGATCGACAAAGAGCGATGTTGTTTTCGACGCCGTGACGACCATGGTGGACGACATGCTTGCTTGCTTGCCGTTGCTTTTGATCGATCTTTTTGCTGTGCGTCTAGCAAGGGTTCAGGCTTTGCCTCGGATCAGGTCGGGTCTGGCTTTCTTTCTTTCTCTTTTTTTTTCTTTTTTCACAGACCGCTCTTCGTACGGAACCTGTTCGATATAACTGGCACCGCTCCAAGTACGAGTATTGGCCGGGCACACGCACAACGATGAAGGGCGGGATTGGTGCCCATCAAGCACCCAAGCAGACAGACAGGTTTGAAGAAGCCAAAAAAAGTGGCGGGGCGTTGAAGAATGTCGCGTGTAGGTGGAGTTGCCGACAGGGGCGTAAGGGAGGAGGGAAGCCCTGCAAACAGGGGGGCTGGGGGGAACTGACAGCGGCTGGGTCCGCTGCTTCAGGGCACTTTATATCGTCTCCAGCTGCAATCACTTGAAGAGTTGGTCTGTGTGACTACCGGGAAGAGTCGTCCAATACTACCTGACATAAAACGACACCAAGGGGAGGGGGGCTGTGATGCTATAATTAGCTGCAGACGACACAGAGGATTTGATGTCTGAGCTGAGGTCAATAATTGAGGCGGATATATTCGGCAATTCAGGGCGTAGATAACATAGTAGCTGACCGTCTCTAGTCAGGCACAGCGACCTCCAGCTCCATTCTGTTATCAATGCTGTAGCAGCCTGTCTATCCCAAAATAGAGCTTCAATTAGTGCGCTAACCAGAACCTGAACCCGCCCCCATTTCTAGATATCAGCCAGTTTCGGCTGTCAACGTATCCGTGCATTATATAGCAACACATGCGCCGTCGCCATCCATCTCCTCGTTTAGCTGCCGCCCGATTCACTATTTCGGCATCCGGAGTTGAAGCAGTGGCCCATTGGCGTACTTGGATGCTGTTCTGCGCCATGGCCACTTTGTCCCAACCTGAACCCTTGCTCCGGCCCTACACGGTTATGTATGTATGTACGTGCATGAGCGCATACATGTCGGTGCGGAGAGCCCAAGTACTCAACCAGGTAACCGGACCTAGCGTTGTTGATATTATTCGAAATCCAAGATGTCTTTCTCCATAAACGGGCGGCGATTGAGTTTCAACGTCTCGCAGCACCATCTTCAGCTTGGCTTGGCCACCTTTCGCGGTTCGCTCACCCCCGTTTCGGGATCCTGGAACTCCTTCCAGCTAACAGGAACCATGTCGTTTCCAACATCGCTCGTGGCCATGATGACACCAAGTTCGTTTGATGCTGTTGAGAGGTAATAGTTGGCCTGGTCTCCCAATGAAATCTGATGGTTCGTTGCGTTAGCCTTCTGGCAACATCAGTACTCTGCGAATGTATACTGCCTTACCACCTGGGCCCGAACAATGTCGCCAGGCTTGAATGACTCGTGAATCTTAACTTTGTCCTGCTCTGTCGCCCTCACATCTTGTACCCGTATCACGCCCTGCCACTCCGTCTGCAGAACCGTCTCGCCAACTTGTTGGATGACTACAATGGCCTGCTTGGGCATGAGACGCACCACGCGCGCCAACACAATGTTGCCGACATCTGGTAGCACCTCTCGCTTGCGGCCGCGTCTAATGACGGATACGGTCGCGAGCTCTTCCGCAGAAGGAGCCGTGATCTTGTTCAATCGCTTGGCCGGGCCCGGAGCCTTGGCCGGTGCTGTGACGGCAACGTTGCCCAGCAGCGAGGAAACAATGCTGCCCTCGTAAACATGCGTGCCCGGGCCCGGAGCATACTTGCTAGCCGGGCCCAGGATTGTGCCTGGTATGGCGAGGGAAGGGATGCTGTCGGTCGCCATCGAAAGCTCAGCAAGCGTTCTTCATATGGAGCACAGCGAGGATGCGATGCTTCATCAAAAAATCACCATCCACCACGGGTAAAAGTCTTATCGCGATAAGAGTCACGTGCACTACCCATGTGCCCACCAAGCTCCATCTCGGTGACCTTCTTCCGCCTTCATCCGCACTCGGACCCGAGGTGGGCTCATGAGGCAGCGGGAAAGCGGAGCAAAAAATGGCGAGGCAAACGGAAAGAATTGTGCCTTTTGGTATGGAGCCCCTGTTCCTTGTTCAACAGGGCTGCGAGGCATCACGAAATATCACCAAAGGCTAGGTTTGCGATTTCCACCAAGCACGAGTATATCATACTTACGGAGTGAATTGGAGCTTTCCCTCGATACCAGAACTGAGTGAACAATCTGCTGATTCCATTCCATCTCCAGGCATGCGATTGAAGCTTTCGGCAACGGCAGGGAATCGCAAAACCCATGATGATCACTCACACTCACAGCGGCTGTCAGCCTGCAGAGAGAACCCACCAATCCAGCTCTTCTTCGGATCCTCGGTGGGTTGGACAATGTAAGCGGGATTGAAAGGTGTCCGGTAAGCCAATGATTCTTTGCTTCCCCATCTCCCTACGGCGGCTAGATATACTCCATACAAAGCAATTACTTGATAGAATAATAACCTTTCTCCTAGTCCTTCAGCTGCTTGATTACAATTACACGGCACCAAACTACCTAGGCACAAGGTATTTCTGTCGTAGTCCCGCTTGAGTGCTGACCCAATCCGCGCGCGGCAAGCCTTGATTAGTCGACCAGAGGTCAACCAACTCCCAAGGCTACTCGTACTTAGCCGGGAAATAATAGCGAGCACTTGATAATGCTTAGTCCAGCCTACAAAGGGACCATCAGGAGATCGGAAGACTTGATGAATTCCGAGCCGATCAGGTGGATTCATGCCCTGCTGACAAACCGTGATGCCAGCTGGCGTCCAACTATCGACGCTTTCGGAGCTGCTCAGGAGCGCTAAGTCAAGAGGCGGGCGGCTACGGACTCCGGTATACGAACAGCCACGAAAGCCGCCATTGTTTTACTGGTTGAAAGACTCTCTTTCTTGTTGTTTTGCCAACTTACAAAAGACCTCCGAGTGCTATCTCCGGCAGCCTCTTGGACTGCGGCACCGCTTCGGCGCCGCACTGACGTTGACGATTTTGTACGATCGCAATGGTGCTTGAATGCCGGCAGCCTCTCGGGGTTCAATCAGAGATTCTTATCCAGTTCGGCATATGTTACCCGGCTTCGCTAGACGGTGAAGCGTATGTGCATGTGCGGATCATCGATCTCGAGCCCCTATTGCTGGAATTCTTGCTGGTAGCGAAACTGTTTGCGGTTCCATGCCACGCCGCCGATGGTGGAGTGCTCCCGTCTTGGCCCATGAAGTTTTCCACAGCAAGGCCTTGTATGATTCATTCGCCGTTAAGAAGCAGCCAATGGGAGAACTTCCGTCCGAGGGCCTTTGCTTAAGCTGGTCCAATTCGATTAGTCCGCGAATAGAGGCTCTGCTCCTTCGCTCTGCTGCTTTGCTCTACGCTACTTGGAGGTCTGGACGCCACCGCACCACCAACGCAAGCATTGTTAACTGGTCGACGAGTACGAACGCAATCGGGTTTCGTTGACGCCGACCTGCCTGCCTAGTCCCAGCGAGTGTCGCCCCCTGCTCCTCTGATGGATGGACAACCAATCTAATGTGGATCGGGACCCAGAAGCGCTTCTTCCATGCCTTTGCTTAACCCTGTCTGTGAAGTTTTACAAACGGGAACTACTCCGGAGGAGGTTGTCTATATCCACTTTAGCCATGCATGGATGGCGGGCTGTCGCTCCGCTCGTTTATAAGGCGTTTGCTGCCCCAGTTGAGCTCGCTGTTTGCGCGCCGACTCATCTCTGGTTGTCTTTGTTGGCCGTGTCGCCTCTGTCGTGCAGTATCTGATCCGGGTAGCTCTTTTGTTGTTTCCTTATAGCTGCGGTAATGCCATTCTGAGGCAGAGGATCTGGATTCATGCTCGAGACTAAATCTCGTTTATCCGGAACCACAAAGCCAAGACAATCCCCACGATAGACTCCACAGTCGACTAGAAGATACCCGTTGCGCCACCCGCTTTGCTGCGCAAGACGTCTGCTGCCCCTGGTCTAAGTGACCGCGGCACCACGCCGAGGTCTGTAAAGAGATGGCAGACCCCGGTGAAGAGAAAGAGATACAGACGCCCAAGGCTGTTGCAGAGAGCCACGCGATCAGCATTCAAGCCGCGTCGGAGGGCCATGGCAATGATCCCGATAATGAAAAGGCTGCCCACGTGAGCGAGAAGCACGACGATGAAATTGAAAGAGTCGAGTCCAGGTCCGATCAGGAAGAGGATGCACCCAAGGAGCCCCTGGCAACCACCAAAAGCCATGCCACCGATGCCAGTGTAGTCGTGAATGCTGCTGCAGAATATGCGGCGAAGCCCTGGTACAAGAAGCTCAACCCCATGCGCTGGGGTGGTATACCGGAGATTCCCAAGGAGCGGATAGTCTCTCGAGAGTACCAGGCTGGTTTCTTTAGCAGGCTTACCTTTTACTGGATGAACCCTCTCATGACAGTGAGTTTTTTGACCCAATCGGGGATTTATATCAACGTGGCGGGTGAGACATGTGTCAACTAACTCGATGTCTCAGACAGGATATAAGCGCCAGCTGGATAAGCAAGACATTTGGATCGTCAACCCCGACAGAGCAGCCGAGCCAATGACGCTCAAAGTGAAAGAGGCTTTCAAGAGACGAGTTCAAAGTGGACAAAAACGACCTTTGCTTGGTGCTTTACACGAAAGCTTCACATTTGAATTCTGGCTCGGTGGTGTTTGCTCGCTTATCGCAACCATCATGCAGGTCCTCTCTCCCTTTATCCTCCGCTACCTGATCCAGTTTGCAACCGATGCCTACGTAGCTCACGTCAGCCACTCTCCTGCTCCTCACATCGGACGCGGTCTCGGTTTGGCCATTGGCGTTACCGTCATGCAGGTCATCCAGAGTGTGTGTATCAGCCACTTCATCTACCGAGGCATGATGATGGGAGGCCAAAGCCGTGCCGTCCTGATTAGCATGATCTACGAGAAATCCATGGTCATCTCGGGCCGTGCCAGGGCTGGCGGTGTCAAGGAGGCCATAATGCCAGAGACAAACGAGCAAGACGAAAAGGACAAGGGCAAGGACACGGAAAAGGACGACGGCAAAAAGAAGAAGGGAAAGAAGGGAGCCCCAATGCAGGATGGCTTGGGCTGGGGCAATGGACGCATTACTAACTTGATGAGTGTCGATACCTATCGAGTTGATCAGGCTTCGGCCCTTTTGCACATGACCTGGACTTCCCCTGTCGCCTGTATCATCACACTCGTCCTGCTGCTCGTCAATCTGACGTACAGCGCCCTTGCCGGTTTTGGGCTCCTCGTCATTGGTGTGCCGCTCATCACCAAGGCTATTCAATCCCTTTTTCGTCGACGAAAGGACATCAACAAGATTACCGATCAGAGAGTGTCTCTTACCCAGGAAATTCTGCAATCCGTCCGATTTGTCAAATACTTTGGCTGGGAGAAGGCCTTTATCGACCGTCTCGCCGAGATTCGCGCCAAAGAAATCTACTCTATCCAGATCCTGCTCGCCATCCGCAATGCCATCAATGCTATCAGCATGTCCATGCCCATCTTTGCCTCGATGCTGTCCTTCATCACCTATTCCCTGACCAACCACGGCCTGGCGCCAGCCGAAATCTTCTCTTCGTTGGCCTTGTTCAACGGTCTTCGAATCCCTCTCAACTTGCTGCCTCTTGTCCTTGGCCAGGTGATTGATGCTTGGTCTTCTCTTCAGCGAATTGAGCAATTCCTTCTTGAAGAAGAGCAGGAAGAGGACGTTACCCTCAAGCCCGAAGGAGAGCATGCAATTGAACTCATCGACGCGTCCTTTACTTGGGAGAGAACCCCAACCAAGGAGGCCGACAAGGGTGCTGCCGGTAAAAATAAGAAGCAAGCCAAGAAGCCAGAGGTTCGAAAGGAGACTGCCCAAGCTGCACCTGGTGACGACTCTGCCAGCACGTTGGTGGAAGAGCGCGAGCCCTTCAAGTTGCAAGATCTAAATCTGCAGGCTGGCCGAAACGAACTGATTGCTGTCATTGGGACCGTCGGCAGTGGCAAGAGTTCTTTGCTCGCTGCCTTGGCCGGTGACATGCGCAAGACAAATGGAGACGTTGTTTTCGGTGCATCCAGGGCCTTTTGTCCCCAATATGCCTGGATTCAGAACGCCTCATTGCAGAACAACATCATCTTTGGTAAGGACCTGGATAAGGACTGGTACAAGGAGGTTATTCGAGCGTGAGTTTACTTTACCCCTTGAAGCCCATTACTCCTGTACTAGAAGGCTAACTTGTTTCTTTCGATAGATGTGCTCTTCAACCTGATCTCGACATGCTTCCCAACGGTGATATGACCGAAATTGGTGAACGTGGTATCACAATCTCCGGTGGTCAGAAGCAGCGTCTCAACATTGCTCGCGCCATCTATTTCGACGCCGATATTGTCCTCATGGATGACCCCCTCAGTGCCGTTGATGCTCATGTTGGTCGTCACATCTTCGATAATGCCATCTTGGGTCTCCTCAAGGACAAGTGCCGTATCCTCGCCACCCATCAACTGTGGGTTCTTTCTCGCTGTGACAGGATCGTCTGGATGGACGGCGGTAAGATTCAGGCCGTCGATACCTTCGAGAATCTGATGCGGGATCACAAGGGCTTCCAAGACCTGATGGAGACGACTGCCGTTGAACAGAAGGAGGAGGACGAAGATGAAGATGACGACGACAAGCTGAAGCAGCTTACGCTGACTGAGACTGCCGAAGCCCGCAAGAACAAGAAGAACAAGAAGGGCGCGGCTCTCATGCAACAGGAAGAAAAGGCTCAAGCCAGTGTGCCTTGGTCCGTGTATGGCGCATACGTCCGCGCCTCCGGTACTCTGCTGAACGCTCCATTGGTCATCTTCATCCTCGTCCTCTCTCAAGGTGCCAACATCATGACCAGCTTGTGGCTCTCGTACTGGACCTCGGACAAGTTTGGGCTGTCAATGGGTCAGTACATTGGCGTCTACGCCGGTCTCGGTGCCCTCCAGGCGATACTCATGTTCCTCTTCTCCGTCATGCTGTCTATCCTGGGTACCAACTCCAGCAAGGTCATGCTCCGCGAGGCAATGTTCCGAGTCCTGCGTGCTCCCATGTCCTTCTTCGACACCACGCCGCTGGGCCGCATCACGAACCGTTTCTCCCGTGATGTCGACGTCATGGACAACAACTTGACGGATGCCATCAGAATGTACTTCCTCACGCTCTGCATGTGTACCGCCGTGTTTGCCCTGATCATTGCCTATTTCCACTACTTCGCTATTGCTCTTGTGCCCCTATACTTCTTGTTCATTGGAGCGGCGTCGTACTACCGTGCGTCGGCCCGAGAGGTCAAGCGTTTCGAGTCGGTCCTTCGATCGACAGTCTTTGCCAAGTTTGGCGAGGGCCTTACGGGTGTGGCTTCGATCCGTGCTTACGGGCTCAAGTCCCGATTTATCAAGGATCTTCGTGACTCGATAGACGAGATGAATGGCGCTTACTTCCTGACCTATTCTAATCAGCGGTGGCTTTCACTCCGATTGGATCTGATTGGTAACCTGCTCGTGTTCACCGTCGGAATCCTCGTCGTCACATCGCGATTCAGCGTCAACCCTTCCATCGGTGGTCTGGTTCTCAGTTACATTCTGTCTATTGTTCAGATGCTGCAGTTCTCCATCCGCCAGCTTGCTGAAGTCGAGAACGGCATGAACGCGGTCGAGCGTCTCCGCTACTATGGTAGCGAGCTTGAAGAGGAGGCTCCCCTCCACACCGTCGACGTTCGCGAATCATGGCCAGAAAAGGGCGAGATTATCTTTGACAATGTCGAGATGCGTTACCGAGAGAATCTGCCTCTTGTGCTCAAGGGCCTGTCCATCCACATTCAGGGCGGAGAGCGCATTGGTATCGTCGGCCGTACCGGTGCCGGAAAGAGTTCCATCATGAGCACCTTGTTCCGTCTCGTCGAGATTTCCGGGGGCTCCATCTCCATCGATGGCATCAACATTGCCACTATTGGCTTGTTTGATCTGCGTTCCCGTCTTGCCATTATCCCTCAGGACCCGACGCTCTTCCAGGGCACTGTCCGCAGCAACCTTGATCCCTTCCACGAGCACACCGACCTGGAGCTCTGGTCTGCTCTTCGCCAGGCCGATCTCGTCCCCGCGGACGCCAACATGGAAGACCGCAAGACAGACCCCTCGCGCATCCATCTCGACAGCGTCGTCGAGGAAGACGGTCTCAACTTCTCGCTCGGTCAGCGCCAGCTCATGGCCCTTGCGCGAGCACTCGTCCGCGGCTCCCAGATCATTGTCTGCGACGAGGCCACGTCCAGCGTCGACATGGAGACGGATGACAAGATTCAACGCACCATGGCTACCGGTTTCAAGGGCAAGACGCTTCTCTGCATCGCCCATCGTCTGCGCACCATCATTGGCTACGACCGCATCTGCGTCATGGACGCCGGTCGCATCGCCGAGCTTGCCTCTCCTCTGGACCTGTGGAAGATGGAGGGCGGTATCTTTAGGGGCATGTGCGATAGAAGCGGCATTCGCGTCGAAGACATTGAGAGCGCGAAACTGGAGCTGGATCAGCTGGATGCTGCTACTGCCGCCGCCGCTGCCACCAGCTCATGAAAGAAATGATGATACCCCCTCACACACAAACCCCCTTTTTACGTCTGAACCTGTTTTTTTCCCTTCTTCTTCGTTTGGGGTTCACAAAATGGAGAGCGCTCATGTAGAGTAATCCTAAAAATTTTACGTCCCAGTCGATTTACGTTTTCATGAATTTAATGTGTGCTTCTTTGATGTTTAATAGACGGGGGGGAGGGAGGCAAAGGTTATAAAGGTGATACTACCTATGCATGACGGTGGGAGGATGGTAAAAGGCACACCTTATAAAATAGAAATTAATTATTCACATACACACACTTCACGATCCTCCTCAATGAATCAAGAGCCGTCTTCAGCAGCATCTATTTTAAGTCAACTCGTAGACAAACATACATCACTCCACTAAGACGAACACAAGACTCGTGTGGAATAAACATATTCATCAGCCCACTACGGCATTGTATTAAAGTATTGCAGTTGACGTTAGACACAAAACACAAAACAAAGCTATATACTCGAAAAATGAAGATGGCGCTCCCAAAAACGATGCTACAAAGTTGTTCACAAAGCCGCACAGTCCCTCCCATCTAGCTGCTGACGGAAGAAAGAAAAGATTCAAGTCCCCTTCCCAGCCTGCTTTACACAAATCTTCCCCAAAAGGCCAACCGAAAAAGTCTGATAAAAAAGAAAATAAAACATCATACACTTAATCATCATTGACGCCATGAATCCCCAGTCTTTTTCATACTTGATATCAAAGACCCAAAACACTTTGCGTATACAGTTGGTAGCAAAAGTATTAGTTAGAAATGCGCCGAAATAAAAAATTAGAAACTCCAGACAAGGCGATTAATATCGGTGTCGAGGACTGCCGCTGCCTCTTGGGCCAGAGCTAGGAGGCATCTGTGGTGGGGGGAGGCTTCCAGGCTCATCGGCAAGCAAGTCTTCGAGGTAGGCACTCGGGGCTCGCTGGCCCGGCTGGCGAGTGTTCAGGTTCACGGAGCTGCTGCTCATATCTCTTCGGGGCGTGAAGTGAGGGGAGTCCGGAGGCGATGGGCCCATGAGCGAGTTCCTAGAGCCGTTGGGGTGGCTCATCGAGTCGGGTCGCAGATTCGTCAAGCTGATGGAAGGACCCTGCTGTCCACCAGGTGACGAGTTTCCGGCAGCATAGAATCCAGAAGGCAAAAAGGTCGAGCCACGGCCGCCCGGAGCATTGGACCCGGCAGCGGTAGGCGAGAAGAACAGGTTGGACTGGCTGGGGGCGGCAGACGGCGTCATGGTGTTTCGGTTGGTGCGACGGACGCCGCGGCCACTGCCGGCGGGCGGAGGAGCAGGCGAGGCGTGGTCGGAATACTTGTAGAAAGGCGCGGGAGGTGCCGGGAAGCCCGTCTTGTTGTTGGCCTCATGCTGGGCCAAGGCGGCGCGGCGAACGGAGCGGTGCAGAAGGAAGCTGACGATGATGCGCCAAAGCAAGACACCAAGGAGGAAAGCGCCGAGGATGGCGCCAACGGCGATGAAGACGGTTCCGTCCGGCGCACTCGAGTGCTGCATGAAGGGCGCATTCTTGGTCGGCGGCACGGTTGGGGGAGGATATGTCGGGACGTTTCCTCCGGGTTTTGTCAGCGTCGGGAGGCCAGTCGGGCCTGAATCATCGCCGCCGCTGGACGAGGAAGAGCTCTGCTTGTTGTTGTTGTTCTGGGCCAGGGCCGGAGAGGCCAAGACGACAACAGCGAGAGTCGACAAGAAGTTGGAGGCCCGCATGTTTACTGGGGACGTAATGCTGTATCCTAGGGCAAACGAAGTGTGCTGAGGCGCAATGCGAGCCGTCGAGTTTGAGCGCTGCTCTTTATGAAACACGGTCAAAACGAGGGTGAAGAAAATCGGATCGTTGGCGACGAGGCCGTACTCGTATGTCGCTTTTGGCGTTTTGGCGGAAACAAGACGAAAGCGTCAAGATGCATGCAACAGCGATGGCGGCTGAAAACGAGACCGGCAATGGGGTCGCCGTAACGAATGTCGCGGGAGAAAAACAATTCGATGCGAAGCGAAGCGATTCGAAGCGACCGGAGACGCAACGCCTAACAAACCCGGTGCAGAGTCGACGGATCGAAGCGATTTGCTGACGAGGGTTGATGGGGAGGGAAAAGACGGCACGGATCAAATGCAAGAGACTTGCGCGTGTTTTGCACTGGACCTCCTTTTAGGCCAGGGCAACCAACAAGTTGGCGTTGAGCTGCTAACTGCCAACTGTAGGCCGGCAATTAGTGGCGGGTTACGGGCGTCAGCGCCTTGGGACACACTGTACGAGCTCTGGAATGCAGCGCCATTGGCGGCAGCTTACAGGGCGGGAGGGGCTGGGCGCGGCCCCTCTGCGCGCTGGGGAAAAGCTCGTATCGGCGTGATGGCAGGTGGCCTTACAGTGCGCAGTTTGGGGAGAGACTGTCCAACTCTCTGTGTTGGAAACTGACAACAAATATTTGCTCAAAAAGACACAGAGAGAGAGAGATGAAAAATTAGATTTCTTAATACTAATGCAATCTCTTTGACAATATGAAGGGGCCTCTCAGCAGGGCTACTACTAGTGCATACAAAAAAAAAAAAAAAAGACTATTTTACCTGTACTGTGCTGTACTTGGTCCGTTGAATGCGGATTTCAACGTCGCAAAACCTCCCACGACGAATGGCTTGTCCTCGCACGGAATCCCGTATAGCCATCTCCACAGCGAGATGCTTCTTTTAGCCTAGCATTTGGGGTGCCTTGCAGGTTCTCGATACAGATGGAGCGCCTCGTATTGCTAGCAGCGTGGCGGTATGCAATAGGTACCTACAACTGCCAATGTGTCAGTCAGTCAAGAGGGCTGGCTGATGGACCAGAGGGGCAGGTGGACAGCAAATCATCAAGCGGGCAGTAAAAGTCTACCTTGACATGTTAAAATTATCGTGAGGGGACATAACCGAATAAGCAACATGAAATGGTTATTTACTGTGTCAATGGTAAGAAAAGCATATTGATTGATTCTATGCCTCACAAGATCATGTAATCCATCATCTCGTTTCAGGTACGTACCTCTTCGTGCCTTTTGGTACATGCTTCATCACCTAGCAGCCCGGCGCACGTGACTCTGACGTTGGCTCAGCCGCTGGACTGGCGCTACCGCCAAATCCCAGCCTTTCAGCAGAGCGTCATCACCAAACCGACTAAAGCCTCTCCAACCTACAATCAATCCATCTTCTCGTCCAACGCCGCATCTTCGTCGCCGGCCTCCTCTCCATTCAGCGCCTTTCATCTTCGCCGCTTAATCTCTTCTCTCTTCTGTATTTTTCCCCCGACTCTCCGAACTCCGACTTCGACAACATGGAGGAAGAGCGCCTTTGGAAGTTTAGGAAGCCCGAGTGGTTGAACAGCATCTGGGCCCGGAACGCTGGCGTCTACGGTGCCGGAGCTTTGGTGAGTCCATTTCCATCCTGCCGAGACTCGGCACCTCGTCATCTTTTGTTCCGCGAGAGAAATCTCTCCGGGTCTTTGTCGACAGGTCCACGGCCCCCCCGAGAAGTCGCTGGCTGACGTACGCATTTGCAGTTCTCCCTCGCCTTCTATGTCATGCTCGACTCCGCCGTCTGGTCCAAGTCGGCCAAGAACGGCTCCAATGTCCACGTGAAATTCGTCGACTGGCTGCCGCTCATCTTCTCCAGCCTGGGCATGCTCATCATCAACTCGGTCGAAAAACAACGCCTCAGCGCCGACTCTTTCAGCTATAGTGGATCTGGTGTCGCATGGAAGGCGCGCGTGGTCTTGTTCCTGGGGTTCGCGGCCCTTGCCGGTGGCATGGCCGGAGGCGTCACCGTCTTTGTCCTCAAGTTTGTAGTTCCTGGAGTTGCCATGCCGGCCCTGAGCATGGGCATTGAGAACCTTGTCAGCAACGCCCTCGTGGGCTGCAGGTATGCACAATCCATTCGGTGACTGGTTGTCAACCCACCGCAAGGATCAAGTCCATCAGCTAACCTTGTACCGCGCCTTTAGCTCTGTCGTCTTGTGGATCAGCCAGAACATGGAAGACGAGTTTACCTACAACCTCTCGCTTTAACTGACCGGACCTTGTACTGCGCGTAAAAGAGGGGAGCAAGTGAGGAGCAAGTGTCGGCGAATGTCTTTGGATCACGGGCGTAACTTGGGGCTCTCGGGAAGGGTCTGGATTTCTTGTTTTTATTTCCCTTTTGGCACACGCGCGCGCGCATACGCAGACACTTTAACAAGGCGCAGCTGGTGATGATTTAAGCCTTTGTTTCTTGTACGAATCGAAACGATCAGTTTGCTGTATGAATTTGAACTTGGGCCATGTTTCATACTGTACGGCCAAGAAATTGGCAATGTATTGGTGTTGTAGCTGAGCATGTTGAGGGTTACTCTCCCTTCAGGAACCAAGCAGAGTTCAGGAGTTTTACAAATACTTGGTTTCCAGAATCTTTCCAAAATGAACCCACAAAAGGCACTGCAGGGGGCGGCATTGCAGTTGAGGCTATCAAAGCAGGGCCAATAGTATTGAGTACAAACCGCAGAGAGCTGTCACTGCTAGCGCTATCCACCGATAACTTTTCCTAGCCTGTCAATGGCCATCCAATCCTCTTCAGTAAACAACAAACATAAACAAAGAAATACCATCAATTGCATTCTCCTTCGACACTGCATACTACAGATTGGCGTATATTCCGCTAACATCGCCCTTTTATTTTATTTCAACGACGCTATATAACACATCATCCGTACCGTCATCGATACCGCACTTCCCTCCGTTTTCCAAGATATACAAAAGCCATGAACGAGCGAACCCGCAGCGCCGGATCCTCGCGCACGACCAGAAGTGCCGGCCTGGCCGCCGCCAGCAGCAGCAGCGCCAACGGCAGCAAGACGAGCCTCTTCCGGAGCCACTTCATCAGGCGGCCCAACGCTGCGGCGGCCGATGCCGAGGGCGGCGAGACGCAGCAGCAGCAGCAGCAGCAGCAGCAGTCCGAGGCGGCGGAGCTGGTGGTGCGCGATCAGCACGGCGAGGTTGAGATTGGGAACCCTCCGACACCGGTGGTGGACGACGAGGAGGAGTTGCAGGCGTTGGAGTATCAGCAGGAGAACGAGAGTGAGGAGGCCCCAGTGCTTTGTTTTGTTGTCTGCGTTGTTGGGTTCTCGTCCATCTATCTATGGGGCAGGAGTTTTGCTAACTAGGCACATGTTTGTTCGTCTAGGAGAAAAGCAGCGCTTGGCAGAGGCCATTCGCCATTACCAAATCAGCCACAGCTCCATGGCCGATCAACCAGACGGTGAGTTGAATCGCATCCGCACTCGGGGATCAAGTTTGTTGGGCTGACTTTGTGGATCGAATCCAGCCCTTTTCGAGGCGGTCCGCGAGAGCAACAGGAGCAAGGTCAGCGCATTGGCCGAAGACAACTGGATGTTCGAGCCGGAAGAACAGCCGCGCATATCATGAACGACGGACGACAATCAGCGTTAAATTTTGCTCCTTTTCTATCCACCCCGCCGTTATGACTATGATACATGAATGATTCTATTCGTCGCTGCCGATCCAAGCATGATATGAGAAGAAGATGATGGTCAAGAAGAAGAAATCGCTTCTTAGTCTAACCCTTCAGCAGCAGGAGCATCCGCTCCACGCAACCCCGGTCGCCGTGTCTGCTGCGGCGGCGCGGCACCACCTCCACCAAACAGCCCGCTCATCATGTCCATCAGGGGGTTGCTCTGTCGCGGCTTCTGTATGCCAAAGTACATCTCGCCAATCATCTCCAGGGGCTCCGCCCACGCCTCGGCCTCGTCTATCTGCGTCGCATACTTGGACACCAGACCCTTGTAGACTTCGGGAGCCCCTCGCTGGATGGCCAGGAGCAGCAGGCCCAAGAAGTTGAGCAGTGGGAGGCTGGGGAAGATGCGAACGTCGGAGGTGGCGCTAGAAACGTCTTGGACACCGAGGGCTGGGTTATCGTTTGTGAGGGCGCTGGCGAAGAGTCGATAGCTGGTGGTGGCGGCGCGGACGTTGCCGACGAGGAGATAGGGGAGGACAGCTCGCGCCGCAAAGTGCGGTGCCATGTGGGCGTCTCCTTCTCTGTACCAAGCATACTCCATGTTGAAGAGCACTTCTGGCGAGTCCTTGGTCCCCAGTATCAGGTGTCGTTCGGCCTCGTATGTCTCGTGCTCTTCAGCGTATAGTGAGCCAGCCACGTGGTGCAGCTCAGGATCGCCCGCAGGGTACTCGCCAAACTTGGAAGACCATCTAATGCCAGACCATAGCTGTCAGCCATCTTATAACGTAACATAAGACCACCAGCCCCAGCACACATATATATGACGAACCTCCCCTCCCCAAAGACTTTTTTTTACTCACCCCATGCTCTCAGTAATAAACTTCTTCCTTGTGGGCTCTTCCGGATCAAACAGCCGCAGACACGTCAGCAGCCTCCCCTTGCTCGTCGCATCCGGCTTCAGCTCAGCCTGCTTATACACGTCCACCATCATGACGCACAAGTCGCCGCCGCTGCCGCCCTGCGCCGCCTTGAGCAGCGACTGCGCGACGCTGTAGAGGATATCGATTGCCGCGGGCCAGTTCTGCGTCTTGATGTAGCGCGAGGCGGCGACTCGCGTCTGCTGCTGCGCTTCGTAAAAGTCGCCATCGGCGATCTTTTCCTGCAGCCGGGCGACGATGCGTTCGACTTTGCTGGCCATGGCGGGAGGCGAAGACGGTGCTCGAAAGCTCAGCTATAGCAAGAGAGAGAGAGAGAAGGTCTTTCTCTTTCTAGAGGGCGAGGTGAAGGTGGTCAAGGTTTGGGTTGTGGTATAGGAGAAGGAGAGTGTTCGTGTTCTAGGAGCTATGATGGATAAGAGAGGATGGAGGGGTAGCAAGGCTTGGCTGGGATTTGCAACCACCCACTGTAGCTCCAGTTTCTTCCCTCTATAAGCTTGAACTATGGAATCGAACCTCAACCTATTACATCATCACCAGCGCGAATAGTGTAGCGGTTAGCATGCATGCTTCCCAAGCATGCGACCCGGGTTCGAGTCCCGGTTCGCGCATTGCTTTTTGCCTTACGCAGTCTGCTTCGCGTCTTGTTTTTTCTTTTTGGTTGCAGATATCTCAATTCAGCTTCTTTTTTGCTTCTTACATAGCGGGGGAGTGGTCTCTGCACTTTCAGAAAGAACTGGAGCATAAAGTGGACCAGATCTCAGTTTTACCAACAGATCCTGAGTCAAGCAACATCAATCAGCTCCTGGAATTAACAAGAAGGCCCACGAGGCCGTGTGCCCAAAAAGACCATGCTTAACTACCATGTTGCTACGTACGTTTATCATAAAGACGGCCGTTCTATATTACATTGTTGCCTTTGATGTGCCAACCCGGAGTGAAAACCCCCGGCACTCGCCTTCTGGTTTTATACTCCAGCCCCGGGCTACGAAATACCAAGTTTCCCTTGGAAAAGTTACCAGTTTTATAATAAAAAAAAATAAAAAAGTCCCTTGACGTGTATATTCCCTTGCGTATTAGTTAGCCCAAGTGCTACCCGACGGCCTTCTTCCCTTCTCGTATAACCATTTGTTATTAAGCCCAATACTCGTCCTCTTGCCTCCCGCTGGGCTTGGTGAGCTAGGGTCGGAGAAGATGTTGGACGAGGTGCTCGCGCCAAAGGAGCCCGGCGATCCAAAGGATGTCCTCCTATTGTTCATGCCGTTGACGCTCTGGCCGAGAGGGCTCCCAATGGGGGAGAATTGGGAGAGTGCGCCGGCAAAGCTCGGGGGAAGAGGTTTGGAGAGGTCGCCTCCTCGTCCATCTAGAGGAGAGCCAGGATAGCTGGCTCTACTTCCCACCGAGCCCGCAATAGATGGTGTTCGTGAATATCGCGGAGGTGTGCTGAACTTTGCGTCGGGCGTAGGCGCGATGACCGACGGATCGAGTCCAAGCAATTGTCTCTGGGTAGCCGTCAACGGGATATCGGAGAGCTCGTCTTTCGGCCGAATGAGCGGCAGACATGCCATGCCAATCTGGATGAAGGGGAGGAGCTGGGCGAGGAACCATGCCCATCCGAGGTATAGTCGGAGTGGCTTGGGCAACCTAAATCGTCGATTTGGGGTTAGAAATGCACCTTGATGTGCCGGAATCCCAGCCGTCGGTCTCTCTTGTTTCTCTCACATTTGCGCGTCCAGCTTGAACTTGGCTAGCAGCTGAAGAGACCACATGGCCAGCAAGGCGACAATGTTGTAGGCAATCCGCCGCACGTTCTTCTCGGAGAAGTTGGTAGCATCGCGACGTCTGGTGATTTCGTCAAGTCGGGGGTGCCTCCACGTGCCTGGGCTGTCGGTAGCTGTGGCCGCCGTAACTTGCTGCTTCACGGGCGTGGTCGCCCTGGCCAAGCTCGACATTCTGAGGAATTGCGAGTCCAGAGGACACAGGGGGGTTGAACGGCAACCGGTCGGCGATGAAACAGTATGGATGTGTCTATTCGGTTTCCTGATGCGGGCGTTGGTAAGCTGGGCCAACTTCACGAGGCTAGGCGCAAGCAAACAAGGGCAGAAAAAAAATCAGAGCGAGAGTTGGAGGACGTGTTGGACATACAAAGACCGTCGCAGGTTCCCGAAGAGAGGCTGAGCCTCGCGCAGATTCACTAGATTCGTTAGTACGGCCAGAGGAGGGGAGGGGACAGTGGCCAGGGCGGCCTTGAGCTTGTGATGCCCGGTGTTGTTTATGTTTGCATAGTAACTGTCGTGAGAGCAACTGGGAAGATTGGCTGTGCAGGGGTGATGCAAAGGCGCTGGAGAGGTGAGCCCGGCAGCGGTAGGCGCACGGACCCGCACATTTACAAGGGCCCTTCAGTGGCTGCCCGGCTGCAGTCAGGGCCCATTGAAATTCCCATAGCGGCATCGCCCAGCGCGCCTCTCGCTGAAAGCTCGAATTTGGAGGGCAACTTGACGATGGGCAGATGGAGAGAACGGTCGGTACTTGGCTTCAAGGTACCGCGCCGGTTGACTACGGGCACGTCGGTACCTGTGCGCACGCCCGCGACAAGTACCCGTCGTCGCTTCAAAGCCCGCAGCTAGGGCGAGGCAAGGTCATCGCAGGGAGAATTGGCTTTTTGCTGCTAGCCTTATTGGCAATGCGCGTACGTGCGCCTCGTGCTTGACCTCAGCTTTTCTTGCCCGCGAGAAATGTACCGGTAGCTTTGTCCCCATTTCCCTGCCCGTGTCTTGTGGAAACTCCCGTTGTCATCAATTCTTCTCCCACATCACCATCACCATCACCCTCGCATCATCATCATCCCTATCCACCAGCTGCTTGGCCACGACCTTCGCCATCGCCATCGGAGCGCCATCGGCATCAGCGTCTGCTTCTGCTTGGTGCAAGTCCGAATTCCCCTGGCGCCAGAGCCGTAAATCATGCGCCGTTAATTCCATTGTCCACCGCAAGACGAACAACGACGCACTCTAGTTTCTCCCCCAAAACAAACCTCGATTTCAACGTCGTCACCACAAACTGCTCGCGCCATGGCCGCCTCGCCCAGCTCAGCGGACGCCGCGTCAGATGTAGAGCACCCGAGCTCTCCTGCTCCAGAAACCAAGTCGTTTGCTTCGCGCGCCGAAGTCGACGACGAAGACACCATCATCGCAACCCCTTCCGAGGCCGCTGAGAAGCCCTCCAGGAGCAAGGGCAAAGGAAAAGACAAGGACAAGGACAAGGACGCGCAGCCTCAGATTGGCAAGATCCGACATTTGAAGAAGGAGGATGGAGAGCCTCTGTGGCGCAAAGATATCCAGTACGACTTCTTGAGGGCCGTCTTCGACAACGAACAAAAGGTCTTCACCAACTCGTACGACACTGAACTAGAGAAGCAATGCTTTGCCGACTTGTACATCGACACCATGGCGCGCAGTTCCAAGACGAGCAAAGTGCTGAGGGACAAGTTGATGAATGACCGAGAAGCTGCCAAGGGCATGGCAATGGTCTGTTTGCTGGTCAACATGGGCCGCATGAACACGACTCTCAACTGTGAGTAACTCATCTTTATCCATACGTCTACGCATCTTATCTATTCGGTTCCACCCAATATCTTGAGCGCCCCAACAAACTAAACCATGAATCAATAGTCTTTCCTGAGATGCGAGCGCAGCTGCGGACATATCACGCCATTCCTTCTCTCCAAGCGCAGCAAGATCCTCACGCCTACAAGCAGCTGCAAGACGCCCCGCGTCTAAAGTCCATCCTCAAGGGCGGCGCGGAAGATCGGGACGAGCCGAATTCCCTGGACAAGATCAAGCAGAGAGGGATTCCTCGCACCAATCCCGTCAACCTCATTTTTGTAATGTGCAACTCGGCGCAAAAAGTCGCAGAGTTGCATTTCCCGCTCCATCGCGAATTTCACGACGTCGTTATGAAAACCCAATACACTAGCATGTCGAGAGCAAAGGCCTTTCTGTGGCTAATGTGGTTCTACCTCGAATCTGATTTTACAGAGGAGGGGTGTGAGGAGAATCCTTTCGGCCCTGGCGTAGACTACGGTCTCGATGTCGCCAACCAAGGTGTCCCTAAGCTCGAAGAAATGACCGAGGAGCAGGAAGCCGCAGAGAATGTTGACCCAGCTGTCGAGATTGAGTTTGGCCACGAGAAACAGAAAATCCGTGCCACAATCTTGGAAATGGATCATCAATTCCTAACAGAGCGAGAGAAGCGTGGCAAGGCCCGACCATCGCTGGCAGATGAGGGCCCTGCGATTTTGCCCCGAATCAGGCCTTCCAAGCATGAATCTGACATTGAGAGTACGCGATCGACACCTCCCCCAAGAGCACTAGCCCGAACGATCGCGGTCATGAATGGACGTAGAACGGCTCCTCTCAAGTATCAGATTTTCGAAGGTTCCTCGCCTGCTCGCCACGGAAACGAGAGTGGCGTTGTCGCCAGAAAGCCTCGCCCACCGACAGCACATCAGCTTGCCGTTGAGCGAAACCGAAGCCAAAGAGTAGAATACATTCTTGACCGTGGCCTTCGAAAACACCATCACAAAAGCAGAAAGGTCCGGCGACAAGAGGGTGCCATTGTGAGAACATATCGGCGTCTGAAAGCTCAAGCTGATCCTTTCGAGGACAGCGACGGCGAGGGCCATACCCCACGCAACTTGCCTGCCAATGGTGATAAAGGCGGCAATGCCTTTAGAGAAAGGGGCATAGGCGGGCTCTGCCTCTTGGCCACCGATAAGGACGACTATGGCGAAGAGGTGAGCTCGTATGCCGCCTCCATCCGACGATCAACGCGCCGTCTGGCTCGTTGGCGAGGGCACGAAGACGAGCTTGGCGTGATTGCCGTGATCAAGAAGCCCAAGCCGCCCACGGCCAACGAGAATGGCAACGGTGAGAATTTGATTGATGGATCGGACCTCCTTGCCGCCGAGCATGCCGATCCCAATGTCAACGGCAATGCGTCCAGGGACGATGACAAGGACGTGAATGGCGACGCTGCCATGCTGGATGACGTGGACATGGAAGATGTCGACAACGCGGCGATTGTGGATGAAGACGTTGACGACGCGGATAAGACAGAGGAGGCCATGGCGGACTCGGATGGGGAGTAAGTTGGGGTTGGGTGTTGTGAGCGTGGGCTGGGTGTGAGCGCGGGTTTCGCGCTGGGTTGTCAATTCAAATTAGGGGGGGAGGAAACCAAAAGGGAACTACATTCGGAACTGATTTTGCTACACAACGAGGAAACTTGTACACAAAGGATACGGCTGGGAGAGATTTAGATTTTCCGGAGGCGTCGAGGCGTTTGACTGAGAGCCCGCACCAGCGCTCCGTAATGACTAAACTGTTATAATCAACTGCAAATCTTGAAAAAGCTGCTTCATTCTTGATCGTGAACAAATCACGTTGCGGCTACAAAACAACAAAAGAGCAAGGTGCCTGTATGTCGGCTAGGCAGGTGTTGATTTGGCCGCGATATTTCGGACATGATGGTCGGATTACACGCGCCGATCTAGCATAACGCACGAGTACGAATACGATACTGCCATTCGGAGGGACGTCTCTCCACCAAAAAAATGGACGGCCTCATCCGGATCGCCGTGATCCGGCCGAGCGGTAAGGTGCGGCAGAAAACGAGCGCGCGAGTCCTCGGGTGCCGAGAATGACAATCCAGTGCTTGCAAGGCAATTGGATTTCTTTATTAATAGAGCGCATTGGATTGGCTTCAGAGGATTTTTTTTTTTTTGCTGCTTGCAGTGTACATCTTTTGTGGCAGTTTGGAAGACAAACTGTCGGCGTTTTGTCAAGTTGTTTATTGCCGGCCGTTGTGCTTACTTGGGCTACTTTTGGCCCAATTCCGAAAGTGGTTCGTTTTCCTCTAACCTCGCCCTTCCTTTAAAGTCCCCTAAAGCTTTGTTTTCTTTCTTTTCTTTTTAGAATTCATCAGTGTAATAATACATAGTAATTCCTTTTTTTTTTTTCGTTTTCAGGTTCTTATAGAAAGAGAAGAGAAAGCAAAAGCCAATGCCTCGAAACGAACCCTCCCCGCCCGGCATCAGCCGCCTGCTGGCCATCCTGGGCCTCTTGACGGCGCTGCTGGCGTCGGTGGTGTACGTGCTCGACCAGGACCTGCAGCGGTTCTACGTCTTCGATACGGACCACCTGCACGACCTTGCGCAGAGGGGAGTCGCCGAGCACGGCAACAACACGCGGGGCATCGTCAAGTACATTGTGGACGAGCTCAACGCCAAGGTGCCGGGATATGTCAACCTGGAGGAGGACTGGGTGTTTAACAATGCCGGCGGGGCCATGGGAGCCATGTACATCCTGCACGCCAGTGTTACCGAGTATCTCATCATCTTTGGTGAGTAAACCATCAATAGCCTTTCCACGACCAAAAGAGAAGAACAAGGAAACGCTGACAGCGAATCCCAAGGCACGGCCATCGGCACAGAGGGCCACACCGGCCGCCACACGGCCGACGACTACTTCCACATCCTGTCCGGCACGCAGGTCGCCTACGTGCCCGGCGAGTACGAGGCCGAGGTGTATCCCGCCGGCAGCGTGCACCACCTGCGCCGCGGCGACGCCAAGCAGTACAAGATGCCCGAGGGCTGCTTCGCGCTCGAGTACGCCCGCGGCTGGATCCCGCCCATGCTCTTCTTCGGGTTCGCCGACGGCCTGAGCAGCACCCTTGATTTCCCGACGTTGTGGAAGACGACGTACATTACGGGCCAGCAGATGATTGGGAACCTGCTCAAGGGGAAGCTGTGAGGCTGGCTACGTGTGTGTGTGTGAGTGAGTGTAAGCCTGGGTGAAAATGGCAGTTTTATGACAGACACTTTGGCTTTAAAACAAAAGAGAAACAAGGCAATCAATCATATGGGAAGCGTCATGGGATATGAAATGAATGTTATAGAAAGCGGGAAACAGTGGCTCAGGACATATAAATCTCGTAACTACTATAGTGTTGGCTTAGTACCTACCACCAAGTCATATATTGTACAGTTACATGGTGAATACAAACCGCAAATTACGACCGAGAACAAGTTTCATCTAGTTGTGTTACTCGAACGGCTCTGCAGCACCCCAGTCAACCAATAAGAACAAAGACAAAGAAGAATCACCAAGGTTTCCCCCTTGCTGCCCCTATTCTCTCACCTCGCCCCGTTACCGTGAATCCAGCACCAGCAAAAGCCTACCGACAAAGTCACCATCTACGCCCCAGTTGAAACGAGATGCATATAGTAGCGGTAGTAAAGTGCATGTAGCAAGTTCGTATAACTATGTACTGCCGTGAAGAGGAGAAGACGAAATGGCACGCTCCCAACAGTAGCCCCCCCTATATTCACCAAGTCCAATACCCGCGCGCCCTCGTCAGATTTGTTTTATATTTTTTTTAGTCTCCGCCCTGCCACCAACGCCACGCCAATGTGCAGTTGTGCTAAGAGGAGGAAAAAATAGTCACCCATGTTAAAAACTCCCATCGTCCATTGTCCAAGCGCTGTTTTTCTCTTATGAGCTGTGAAATATCGGTGTCGTTCGTAAAAAAAAAAACCTACCCATTATCAAGCAGTAGCCAGAGACCTACGCCTTTTTGTGGGGGCAAAAAATATTGAGAATGAAGAAAACCTGGGGAAATGGCAACCAAAAAAAAAAGAGAGAGAAAGACAAGTAATGAAACAATGCTCCAGATACACCATTCGACTCAGGCGGTGGCTCGAATTCCATGTCGATGTAAACGCCAAGGCTTGCAAAATACAATCATCGCCCATCCAATGACGACGCAACCTGCACAAGAAACAGCTTCTCTAGGCGAGCCAGCCTTCTTCGGCTCGCTTCAGGCCACGCATGACAAGCCCGTCTTCGTCATCATCGTCGGACGAGTCGTCCTCTGCATCATCCTGGATCCTCATGTTTTCCACAGAAGTCGTTGTGGCCTGCATCCGGGCCTCGTGGCCGTCATCCTCCTCGTCAAACATCCACGTCAAGCCATTGGCTTCTTCCTCCAGTGGGAACATTTCTCTCGCGTACTCTTCCAGTCCTCGGGGGCCCTCCCACAACTCAAGCGCCTCCCGCGGGCAGCTGGCTTCCAGCTTTGGGTCGCCAAAGTAGGGGGGCTGCTTCGCAGGGTCCTTCTCGTTGGGATCAAAGAGCTTCTCCAGAGCCTCGAGCTGTTGTCGATATCCCGTAGGTATGCGAACCTTGATCTCGATAGGTCCTCTGATATAGCGGACAGGACGGCCGACTCCGCGGGCAAAGAGCTTGCAAGCCTCCACCGGGGTCAGGTATTCGTACGCCAAAGCGATGCGCTCCCCTTGCCACTTGGATACGCCGTCCTTGAAAAGTTGTATAACGGCAGGCCCAACGTCATGTTCAGCATCCAACCAGGGGAGCTTGGCGTCTTCGTGGAACGGGGCCTGCCATGTGAAAGAGCCATCCGGCTGCAGCTCCATGCAGAACAACGGGTAAAGCAGCGAGGTGAAGTTGTTGTTGTAGATGCCGGTGTAGACAAAGGTGGCGGGCAGGCCCAGCTCCCTCACATACTCTTCAACCTTGTGCTTAGCGGCCCATAGGGGCAACGACGGCCACCCGGTGTGGTATGCTGCGTGGTCGGGCATGGAGGAGTAGATGTAGTGTTGGATGTTGGCCTTTTTCGCGGCATCGGCCAGAGCCTTGCCGATCTGCAGCTCATCCCCGTAAAAAGTGGTGTTGATGAAGGCGAGCTGTGCGTTGCGGAAGAGATTGTCGATCAGATCGTGGTTGACGCCGACGCCGGGCATGGGGCCATTCTGAGTTACATCCTTGTTCTCCTTGGTTGGCTGGTGCCTCGTGTAGAGCTCGCCGACAAAGACCGTGACGTTGGGGTTGGTGGACACTTCGGTAGCGACAACTCCTTCGAGATTCCGCAGCTGCGCACGAACGTGGTAACCAACGGCCGTGGCCACGCGAATCAGCGACGCAGCTTGGCGGCCGCTGGCGTTTATAACGGCAATGGTCTTTGGCGTAGACATGAATCTCTTGGTAGGGCGGAAGGTCAAGGAGTTGTTCCTCGAGTTGGCCAGAGGGGACGACTCGGAGTAGGAGGATCGCGAATGCTTATGTTGCTTGTGGAAGCCGTTTGTCTGGTCGGTCGCGATATGGATGGGAAGGGCGCCCGTAACGGACCCGTTGAGTTGTGCCGGCATGGCTCCGTTTGGCTTGCTGGTGGGATTTCAGGCCGAAGCCGACTGGAAGGAATTGGTCGCCGAGACAGGAAGTTGATTTGCTCCGACGCAGGCTGTGTATTTATTCGACAGGCAAGGCCACCGTTATCCGGACGTGCCAGCCCGCCTGTAAAACAGAGGCAGATCGCCTAGGATGCGGATTTGATGGTGGGGGATGGCAAGAGGTAGCAGTAGGGCTTGTCTCTCAGCTCATGGATCGAAAAAAAAAACGAGTAGTCAGTACGTAAGAGCGAGGTATGACAGTGGATCGTGGGCCGTGGGCCGTGGGCCGTTTGAACGGGCGAGAGCGTGGGAGGACAAGCAGCGAGCACGGTATTACTTGTACTTGAAGCAGCTAGAAAAGAGAGAGGCCAATGCCGGCGGCTGGACGCGGCGCACAGCAAAGTGGTGATGATGTAGGATCCCACGCGGGCAGCGCAGAACTTGTCGGGTCTGGTCTAGGCCGGTGGCACAACACAAAAAAAAACAGCGGATATTCGAGAGCGGTGGGCGAGTGAGTACGAGTACTTGTACGAGCAAGAAGAGGCGGAAATATGGGAGATGCAGATGCAATTGGTCGCAGGGGCCGAGGGGGACCGCAGCCGGGATTGTCCTGTGATATAACGAGACAAAAGGGGGCCGAGACGCTGTCGCAAAGGAGCACTCGCCGTGTAAAAGAATTACAGCAACAGCAACAGCAACAGCAACAGCAACGGCGGCGAGGCGAAACGAGACGAGGCGACGGGATACGTCCTCTGGATATACTACTGAGACTGATACTGACACTGATACTGCACTGTCCAGTAGAGGGGTCAAGTCTCTTTTTTTTCCCGATAAGAACAACGGCTATGGTCGATTTAGCTCGCGCGAATTGGGAGACTAGCTTGAAGAGACGGAAAGATTGGGGTTAGTCCGGAGTGGCCTCGCCACGCCTTGGCGTGTGAGGACTGGCAATTTCTTACTTGGATGGCGGCCGCGCGCTGAAACCAGTCAGATGGCTGGCTGGCTGCTGGGTGCAGGGCGATAAGGGATGAGGAGGGGGTTGGTTGTGTTGGGATAGGTAACTTGGTACGGAGTAGATTCAAGATGGAGGGGGGGGAAGAGGAGGAATCTTGCTTGCTTGACTGCAGTCTGTTCTGTAATCAGGCAAATAAGGCGAATACCTGTCACAAGTCGAGTCTCGGTATCGAATTCCGCATGTACTACTAGGTACTACTAAGCTGAATAGAAAAATGCGTCATACTAGGTACGAATAAAATCCGTGGATGGCCATTATTACTCCAATAGGTACTCATACTAATACAAACACTGATACTATATCGCAGTCCCGAGTGAAGTCAACGGCGATGCAGAATGACGGCACACCCTTGCCTCGCCCAGAGCAGCAGGAGCGAAGGTCGGAGGCGACGGGTACAGGCACAGGTAGGTACAGGTACAGATACAGGCACTGTACCTACAGGGTACAGGCGCAAGTACCGCTTGGACCCCGAGATGAGAGACTCGCAGCGGTAGTACCAGGTACGAGAACTTTTGCACGGCGCACTTGTACCGACTCCGTGTAAAGCCAAGTGTCAAAGCCTCACCTGCAAGGTCCTCGATGCGGCCATGTGCTGCAAAAAGCTTGGGGTTAGGGGTACCTGGCAGTACTTTGGTCTGGATTCTGCTGAACGCAACTGAAAGGTGCCGCCAAGTACTGCTTGTGAGACCTGGGGGGAAAGAGCAAGCCCTAATCCTAGTAGCATTCCCCGTAGATGGTTAATGACGGCAAGAATAGAAAAGAAGAAGTAAAAGAAGAGAAAAAGTAAAAAGAGAAAAAAAAGTCGGAGCCCGCCCGGCCGCTATCTTCGACAGGAACGGAGCAACATGTAAGACTGTTAGGTACCAGGTACCTAGACCACCACCTTTTTTTTGAGTTGGCTAGCCCGATCTCCGTCATCATGGATCCCTGTATGGAGTACCTTGCACAAACGGGCAACATCTGATTAGATTCGTGCGAGTCGAGACAACTGCTACGTAACATGGTACCTGTATGAGTGCTAGGCCTGTGTAAACTTTTGGCCAGTCAGACGCGCCGATAGGGCCCGCGGCTGGCCTGATTTGCTCCAAAAGCCTCTGGCAAAAGTCGATCCATTCACGCGCGGATGACCTGACCGGAACAAGACAAGGCTAGCAACGGGTTTCTGCTCGAGTTGTCGATGCCTTTCCGTTCGCATCAGGCCAGAGAAAAGCCCCATGCACGATGCATGTTCCAATCGGGCCAAAAGCTGCGTTGAACCATTTTGATGCTGTGTTCCCTCACCACTTTACTTGAAGATTGTCTGGGGCCGACCAATCGGGCGGCGTCGCTAAAGGAAGTCGCCTCTGGGATTTTCTTGTTTTGCGCCTTGGCTCCATGCAACTCCGCGGATGAGGCGCAAGGGCTTGCTGGAACACTGCCGTTTATCTGGTATTACTACATGCCATTAGATAGTGCTGCCGGTAACCACCAATGGCATGCACAAGCGCTAAAGACGGAATTGGAAGAGGAACACAGCCAGATGCTACACAAGATCAGAGCTAACGTGTGCAGGGAGCACAGGTACCATCTACTGTACGGAGTGTGCCAGGGCCCATCATGGTACACTGTGGCATCGGAAGAAGGGCGCAGAAGGTCAGCAGACAGACGACGTCTCCCAAAGGCACAGGACGGCTAGCGGCCTCTCCGAATTCCATCATCTAGTAGGTTAGTAGGTACCCTTCTCCATCTCCATATATGCGCATGTACGAGTGCCTGGGCTCTGCCTGGGGGCTGACGGGTGAGGTCCAGTATTCTGTATTACAGTTGCATGACCTGCCCTTAGCGAATACACAACGACTCCATACTTATACGCAGACATGCCGCATCAGCCTAATGATACTGCCGTCCTGAGCAACGTGTGTCCGTTCTGGACATGTCCAAAGTCCCTACATGCGATGCTAAAGCTATGGAGCACAGTTTCCAGCACCGGGGCTGCCCAGAATGGCTGACCCGGCCCTGTCACGCGCTCCTCACTACTGTACGGACCAGAAGCCGTGGCACATGGGGCTCGTTACTCCGTGCAGCGGCTCTCGACGCAGTACGGCGCACGCTGCCTAATTCGCGGCAGCTTACAGTACGAGCATACGCATGCCTTGGTATGTACTATCGACGCCGGATCATGCTGAGACAATACTGGAGTTGGATTGCGGCATCGGACCAAAAGTTTGTCCCCAAGCAACGCAACGGAGCCGAACACTGCGCCCAAGAAACTGCGAGGCATGTGCCGTTCGGTGTACAGCAGGTACTTTTGAAGTATCCAATACAAAACATCATTTTGCATTTGCGGCTCCGAGATAACCAACGGCTATCTGAGGCATCTTATCGGGCCATTGGCTCTAGGGAGGAACGGGGTAGGATCTTCACACTTGACTCGACTCAGGCCGCAGGATCCACGAGCAGAAAAAGACCCTTTGGAAAGATGAGAGAAGAGAAAGAGAAGGATGAAGAAAATTTTCTTCTCGGCTGCCACAGCGCTACTGTACTCGTAGCTACTCTCCGTACTCCCCCCCTTCGTATTCCCCATACAAACGCTCACTGCGAAATACGACCGCTAGGTAACCCAGCTCCCGCATTGCCGGCGTTCGGCCTATTTGCATTAGCTCTCGTTAACTCTTCCCACGTTTCCACGGTCCAGGTTCAACGAGGTTCAACCCCAGGGCCAAGAGCGGATACACGCAGAGAGGCCGGAGCCCCTGCAGCGGCAAAGGAGAGGTTGAGATTAGGTAAATTTTTGCCCCGGTTCTCCAGTCAGATGATTTCGTTAACCTCATTCCATTGCTCATATCCTCAATTGCTTCAAGATCGCCTTGATACTGTTGGTCCATGTCACGAAATTTTTTTCTCTTGCTGCCGGCCTGGACCGTCATCGATCGATCCAGAGCTCGGGTCACCAGACCTGTCATGATTTTTCTTCTTGTCTTGTTTCCCTTTTTTCTTAGTAATTTTTTTTTTTCAATTTGAGATTTGTCTCCAAGGGACACGCTCTCCTTGTCTTGCCTCCCACTCACTCCCCTTCTACGGGGTACCATCACTCCCAGTAGGAGTAATCTCTCTGAACCCTCAAGGTGCTGCAGCTCCGTAATGTCATGGTTCCATGGCTTGAGGCTTGTCGACGTATACCTGGATTCGTACTAGGCCTGGCAGCCTTGGGTGTAACGGTTTATGCAGCCAATCCCCTGCGATAGCTTTCCCTCTGCATTCACTCCTTGCCTTCTCATTCGTCACTCGCTGTGGCCTGTAGAGGTAGTGCAGCTCGTTGAGAGATGCTGCGTTCCGACACGCCGCACGACGCCGTTGATGCGGCTTCCCCATCAATCAAATGCTCTTACACCAACCGGCTTCCCGCCACCATCGCTACTTTTTCTTCTTTTCTCTTGTTTCTTTTTTTTTCTTTCATTTTCTTTCATTTTAGCGCCCCTTGTGATTGCGCCCTACGAGCGGGCGAGAAACAAGCTGGTGACAGGGTTGTGACTTCACTTGGCCGGAGACAGTGCCCGTAAACCCCAAAAGAACCGCTCATCTAGCCGACGGTCAACCTCCTACGTGATACTACTATATTTTTTTTTTTTCCCTTTTGTCTCTACCCCCCGCTCATGCAGGCCATTATGAATAGCATTTGCCCCCATTTATTGGCTAGCTCATTTTCCTTGTCCTCGTGAGCTTCGTTGGCGCCGGATCGTGCAGAGAACAGCAAACACTCTCTAGGGGGGGTACAGGACACGGTAAGCCCCTTCAGCTCCCTTCGCCAAAACTCGACGGGATTGCGACAAAGGCGCACAAACCTTGGCCCCCGATCCATCAAGGCTCAAGCGAGAACGTCTCAAAACGCGGAGGAGGGCCACTTTGTTACGCAGTCGCTCGTGCTTACACGAAACGAGGAGAAACGAGGGGTGTGTTGCCGCAAACTTCGGCCTATATCATGCAT